AAAGGAAAAGGGGGGAGTGTGGAGGGCCAGCTCCCAGTGAAAAAGGACTGCAAATCTTCCCTTCTGTGCCCAAGAGGACAACCTCAGTATAGCTGGTAGTGCAGATGCGGCATGGAACCCGTGCCATACCCTACCTTTGAAGCCAGTAAACCAGCAATCAGGGATAGCAACCTCACATCTACCGAGCCACCTCGGTGGACATGCAGTCAGAAACCTGCCACAAAGCATATCTCTTTTGGCCGCCACCACCTGGAATCCGACAGGCAGCCTCCAGAGATACACCCGTCACCTGAAAGACACCCGAAGCCCCCCCCCCCCCCGGTAGACTGAAGAGGGATCGGGATCTCTAGATGATCCAGATTCCATGGCAAACTACACTACCACCAAGGACCTCAACAGAAGGAGATGGACCCTGGAACTGCTTCTCAGTTATAGGAACTACAAACCCTGAGGGAAGAACCTCAAAGGCAGGAACAGAAAAGGGTAAGTGGAGGGATGGGGAGAGGAAGAGGAAAGGGAAAGGGGTGATGGAGAGGATGGGATGGGGAAGGGGGGATTGGAGGTAATTAGGTTCAGTCTGAGGAAGAAGACCAAAAGGTCTAATTCCTCAGACTGATAGCCTCTTCATTGCACCAAGGAGCCCCCCTTGAAGAGGCAAGAAGAGGATAAAATGAGGTCTTTGGTAGCTGACCAGGCGACTGAGTCTGCACATTTGATGCCCTGAATTCCATGTCCAGGGACCCAAGAAAATAAAACTTTTGTGCTTGCTAGAAATGTGACATAGCCTAAGCCTATTATTATCATCATAACTAAGATAGCAAGGGGTTTATTGTTAATTCCACTTATGTAAGAAGGGTGTTAAAGTGTCGTTGTCCCTTTACACTTACCGAGTTCTGTCTCAGTGTAGTCATCTCTTCCCTGATTTTCACTGGAGGTATGCTGCACTGTCTGCCAGCCTATTCTTGTTTTCATATGTAGCAATTTTGGTGTGCAGATTTTGAACCACTCCCTCCAGAATCTTCCAGGTGTAGATTATCATCTCTCTCCCATATATTTGTTCCAAGTGCAGTTTGAGGTACTTGACTGAGTTTATACATGTTGTGAAGGCTCTGTACATTTTCTATGTTTGCAATTTTGTGTGAATATCATGGTTCAGGTGACTCTCTAAACCGACATAAACCCACTCCTTCCTTCAGAATGAAGGCATTATACTTCCCACCTGAAGGATTCAGGTTTCTCTGAATCTCTTCCTAAATGTTACCTTGTTCACACTTCAATGGGACATCATAAAAACTGCTTGCCTTCACTCATTTGTGTGGAATTATTATAATGGGAAGTGCTAAACCTGCAGGGATTATACAGTACTCAAGGAAGGGGGAAATGGAAGACATTCAGGCTTAATTCAGAGAATTGGAGCACAGATCCAATTCCCTAGATCATGAGCCCTTCACCAGCATCAAGGAACCTCCCTTGAGAAGATTTGTATGTAATGCACTCAACACAGGCCTGTTGGATGTCTAACCATCTTTACCCCCTCCATCTAGCCTCTCCTTGGATGACCTATACCCCTCCTTCCCTCCACCCTAAATTTGTACTCCCTCCTAGTCATTGTAGTTGCTTCACCTTCTCTATACAGTACTGTCCAAACCACCTCAACAATGTAAACACCAAACACATTGAGACCAACACCTACATCAAGTGTACAGAGACCAAACAAAGTGAATGGAGGCAATCGGGTTTTATGGCGTGAAGTGCCGTTGAAGCGTGAGCAGATAACATTTCTGAAGGGATTCAGGAAACCTATTTGCTGAACTTGAGTCTGGCTATATACACAGACTGTCCAAAACATCCATTGTGTGTTTTGTGAATGCTCCAGACATAGCATTTACTTTATTTTTATTGATTAGATTCAAGCTCTGAGTGTTGACAAATAAAAAAAAGAAAATGCAATGCTTGGGCTTAGTGTTGACATTATTAGTACCTTTGGTACTGTCCCACCTTGTAATTTTTTTTCTTTTTGAACACGTCAGCCACTTCCCACCGAGGCAGGGTGACCCAAAAAGAAAGAAAAACCCAAAAAGAAAAAAACTTTCATAATTCAACACTTTCACCATCACTCATACGAAATCACTGCCTTTGCAGGGGTGCTCAGATATGACTGTTTAGATGTCCCTCCAAACTGCCAATATCCCAAACTACTCCTTTACAGTGTGGGCATTGTACTTCTCATTTCCAGGACTCAAGTCTGACTTACCGGTTTCCCTGAATCCCTTCACAAAATATTACCCTGCTCACACTCCAACAGCTCATTAGGTCCCAAAAACCGTTCATCTCCATTCACTCCTAACACATGCATGCCTATTAGTCCAAGCCCCTCGCCCACAAAACCTCTCTTACCCCCTCCCTCCAATCTTCTCGAGGACGACCCCTACCCCGCCTTAATTTCCGTAGATTTATATGCTCTCCAAGTCATTCTACTTTGTTCCATTCTCTCTAAATGACCAAACCACCTCAACAACCCCTCTTCAGCCCTCTGACTAATACCTTTAATAACTCCACACCTTCTCCTAATTTCCACACTATGAAATCTCTGCATAATATTTACACCACACACTGCTCTTGAACACAACATCTCCACTGCCTCCAGCCTCCTCCCCACTGCAGCATCTTGCAATATGGCTCTTAATATATATAAGACTTGCCAGTACTGACTGTAATGTGGACTGTTGTATGCTTGTCCCTGGTGTGACTTTATCCCATTTTCTCACATTTTTTTTTCTTGGATGGTACCTTCTGAGGTTTAATTTTTTTTAATTGAGGGAAAAGGATAAACAAAAATGTTTGCATTAAGGATGAGTGAGTGTTGCAGTTTTAGTTCCTGGAAAATATTGTCTATGTACTCAATAAATGCTCGCTGATGGACAGTCAAACGAGGAAGGATAGCTGTTCCACAGCATGTGTTAAAGTGAGTTTGTATGAGACCTGTAACAGGCTGTTCACAGTTTGTAGTTTTGTTAAGTTGTCCACTTGAATAGCATCATTAACTGGCACTACACATACCCTATTGTGCTCATTATGGAAAGTGACCTTGGTGCCAGCTGTTGTCAAAATTGTTTGGTTAACTTTATGTTCACATAGCACATCTGAAGCTTCACTACACAGTGTAATTTTTTTTACCAGGTGGGTGGGCCTTATGTAACAGTAATGTAACCCAAAATGGAAGACTTATGACAATAGTGAGAAAGAAATTGAGAAGTATCAGGTATTGGATCTAAAATAGCAGAAATTGTTTTGATTGTAGTGAGATGAATGTTGTCAGGTATTGCAAGGATGACTTTCAAATATCCTCAGCAGTCAGAGGAAGTCAGTCGTAGTTAGAGAGTGCAGAGCCATCATTAACAATACTTAAAAAACAATAATAATTAAACTTTAACTTGACATTTCCTCAACCACCATGAATTTTAACAACTCCAGTGCTAGCAGAGAAGTATATGTGGGTAACCAACAGAGGACTACAAGGCACCTATTGGGCTGAAAGGAGTGCCCACTCTTGGATGCTGCCTTGGCCCTAATCAAATACACTGCCCCACCACAATGGACAGTTATGCAAGATGCCCAGTTGAATGATCCAGCAAAGCTTCCAGTGAACCTCCAATCTGATTTCTTCCCTTACTATAGAGGCGTGCTGGCAACCTGAGAACCGCAGTCCCACGGGGAGGTTTCACCTCGATGCAAGCAGAAACAAGGAGTAAAAGAGTCATCATGATTGTGGCCACCCCGAGGAATCCAAGGGACCTGAAGCCCACCCAGCACAGCCACAACAATGAGGATCACAAAGTAAAAGGACACAAGTGCAACTACTGTGACATTTTATTGTGGCAACATTTCGTTCTCCAGGAGCTTTATCAAGCCAATAAAATGTCACAGTAGTTGCACTTGTGTCCTTTTACTTTACATACTGTCAGTAATTCTACCAACATTAATACAATGAGGATCACAAACCCCACCATGTACATAAAGGAACTACTATGGAGGGAGGGGAAAGTGTCCTAAGAAATGAGAGATGTGATCATAAAATAAATTATAATGAAAAAAATTTAACTTTGATACTAATTACTACTTCTACTGAGCACAAGTAGGTAGCACATTGAGCCTTCACTACTCACCATGCTGTGTGGCCCCCACAGATTTAGCCTCATAATAAATATGTAAATATACAGTGATCCCTTGTTACCCTGCTCACACCAACAGCATCTCAAGTCGCAAAAACCACTTGTCTTAGCACACTCCTAACGTGCTCACACATTTGTTGGATGTCCAAGCTCCTCACCCACAAAACCTTTAACCCTTAAACGGTCCAAACGTATATATACGTTTTTTCAACATCTGAAAGTATGTAAAAAAATGTAGATCTTCTTTTTTGTTTTACATTTGAAAACGTGTAAAAAAAACTTTTATCTACATTATTTTTTTGTTATATCTGAAAATATGTAAAAAAAAATAGATCTACTTTTGTAGCACTATGAATTTGAATGTCGATCTGTTTGGACCGTTTAAGGGTTAACCCCCTCCCCAAACCTTTCCTAGGACAACCCGTACTCCTCCTTCCCTCCATTACAGATTTATACACCCTCCAAGTCAACCTATTTTGCTTCATCCTATCTAACTGTCCAAACACCTCAACAACCCTTCCTCAGCCCTCTGGATAATACTTTTGGTAACCTTGCATCTTCTAATCTCTAAACTACGAATTCTTTGCATAATATTCACACGACACATTGCCTACAGACATGACAGCTCTACTGCCTCCAGTCTCCGTCTCACTGAAATATTTAAAACCCATGCTTCACACCCATGTACATGTTGATACCACTATACTATGGTACATTCCCTTTTTTTGCCTCCAAAGAAACATATCAATAGATGGCATGTGCAGTACATATTACAATGAAGCAGTGTAATTTGATAAGTAGAAGGCATGTTAAAGAAAAAGAAAGAAATCAACATATATATTTTTATATTCAATAATTTACATTTTTTTTTTTTTCAACAAGTTGGTCGTCTCCCACCGAGGCAGGGTGACCCAAAAAAGAAAGAAAATCCCCAAAAAGAAAATACTTTCATCATCATTCAACACTTTCACCACACTCACACATTATCACTGCTTTTGCAGAGGTGCTCAGAATACAACAGTTTAGAAGCATATACGTATAAAGATACACAACATATCCCTCCAAACTGCCAATAATTTACATAATATTCTATATTTACAACTATAATTCATTTACTCAAAATTCTTTTTGTACCCCCAAAAACCTACATTCCAGCACTTATACTGCAGCAACATTTCCCTCGTAACAAAGAGCTAGTGTATTACTAATGAAGATCAGCACATTTTTCCAAAACCTTCAATAAGAAACATTTACAAGCAACACAATAAAAAGTATGGCAAAATGCAACAATTATAATTTGTTTCTATTATTAAACACAAAAATGCCTTGTGATGACATGATATCCTCAATCAAACCAGCAAAATGGTTTTTGCATAAAAAAAAGTAATCAAACTGGCCTACAATCTCTAGTTTGCTGGTCTGATTTGTATCAACACCATGACACCAACTGCTAAAAAAAAAAAAAAAAAAAAAACTCTTCAACAAAATTTTGCATACTAACTCAGCACGTTTAAAAGAAATTATTGCAGCTAGATTAACTGAAGCATGTACAATTAACATATTTGTAAATGCAAAACTAGTAAAAGAAAAATAAGAAAATTTTTAATTCCTAAATAACATAAGGCAAGAGTTCAATACATCACTTAGTAATGTACCATGGCAAAGACTTAACCCTTAAACTGTCCAAACACAGATCTATGTTTACATGCGTAGCGCTCCGAACGTATATCTACGTTTTTTTACTTGAGAAACAACGTAAAATCGAACATAGATCTACGTTTGGAGTGCTATGCGTGTGAACGTAGATCTACATTTGGACAGTTGAAGGGTTAATCCTTTCTTTATAATTATGACTTGTGCCCTGCCCCTTGGGAGACAAAAATTTCTTGGAAAAACAGATGCAAAACAAATTACATAGTTCATAATACAGTATGTCTTCAAATTTCAGTCCCTCTGTTCATGGTTCATGTCTTATTGGATTTAGTAATTATCCAGCAAATGGATGATATGAGTGTTTGTGATATGTTCAACCAAATAAACTAACAAATAAACATGACCATTATCATACAAAATAGAAAATTCAATTCAAGTTCAAGATGGTAATCTTCTTTCTTTCAACAAATTGATCATGTCCCACTGGAGCAGGGTGGCCCAAAAGAAAAACAAAAGTTTCTCTTTTTAACTTTAGTAATGTATATAGGAGAAGAGGTTACTAGTCCCTTGCTCCTGGCATTTTAGTTGCCTCTTACGAAACGCATGGCTTAGAGGAAGAATTCTGCTCCACTTCCCCATGGAGATAAGAAAATAGAAGAAAACCCAGAGGGGTGTGTATATATATGCTTGTACATCCAAGTGTAGTGTGACCTAAGTGCAAGTAGAAGTAGCAAGATGTAACTGAAATCTTGCATGTTCATGAGACAGAAAAAAAGACACCAGCAATCCAACCATCATGTAAAACAATTACATGTTTCCGTTTTACACTCACATGGCAGGACAGAAGTACCTCCCTGGGTGGTTGCTGTCTACCAACCTATTACCTACAAGATGGTAATAACATACAACAATTATAAAGCTCATGTATTCATTTCCAGCTTCTATGTCACTTCTCAATTCAACATTGTCCATTCAGTCAACTATGGTTCTTCATCTCAGTGTCCAATTATATTCCTGAATATTTTTAACAAATATTTGTTGTCCTAAACATAATCAACTTACTTTGGAAGAAATGCTGATCACATGAGCAAAGTTAGTACTGTACTTACATAATGACTTTAATTTACAAACATAAAGTTAAGTTTTATTTTCTATGTTCAATAATTTTTCACTGTATCTAGTGATAAAATCTTATTACATATTAAAAAGAAAAAAGACTTATGTGCTGTAGGCCAGCAGATTTTTATGAATAATGTCTTGTTTCAATTAATGCCACTAATGAAGAAAAATTTCCTAACAGTATTGTGTGCTGTACAATATCGAATCCAGTGCATAGCATAAGGATGGTCAATTAACCTCTATAAATTTATATATTCAAATTAAGCTTCATAAACAAATATTGTACTCTTATCTAAGGTGAACAAGGATTCAAATTCTCTTAGCAATTCCACTATCAGCAAGAAATGTAAATACAGCAGTACCTTTAACTATCAATTTTTTCCTGTCAATTAGAGGGAAGCACTAAACCCATAGGGGTCATATAGCACTGGGGAACAGGAGGCAATCAGGTTTGATCCAAGGGGTGAAAAAGCCCAATTCCTTGGATCAAGAGCCCCTCACCAACATCAAGGCACCTCCCTTGAGGGGTTTTCCTAAGAAAATAGGTCTAGAGCTAATGGGGAGTAAGTTTCTTGCTTATTACATTACAGTCAGTCACCACTGTAACTTGAATTCAATACAATTTGAATGAGGTAAGAAAAATTACAGTGATGAAGGCCATTAGTGTAAGCACTGGGCATCAACTACTACAGTCCAAAAACATGATGGAAAATAATTTTACCAGAAGGGACACCATCCTATGTAACACTGACATAGGTTCTCATGTGAGGTAGCCTGTGCAATAAGTAGTTCTACCTGTCTGTGAACGTCTAGTGGCTCTTCATGGCAAAAGTCTCGCCCTGTCAGCTTGTCACGGACTCTATTGACAATGGCTACTGCCTTCTTATTGAGGGCCTCTGAAGCACCAGAATCATCTCGACCTATTTCTAACTTTTTAGTTTGAGAACCTGCATGGATTGCTGATGATACAGGAGTGGTCTCCATGATAGGTGTGTGGCTAGGGTCTGTTGCACTGACAGAACTATCACTATCAGCAACAACTGAGCGTTTGCTCTTGGGCTGTGCATGATCCATTAAGCGCCAGTTAAGCAAGGGATCATGAACAAAGGCTTCCAGCATGGCCATGAGAGAATCTTTGTTCCGACGTATCAAGCTCATGACAGATTCACAAGTCATGCGGTATGTACCATCAATTCCTGTCACTTCCATTGCATTGATGAGCATCCTAGTCAAACGGAAAGGTATTTTTTCAGGGAACTTCTCACGAGTCATGGCAACTTCAAAACAGTCACCAAAATCAATATGAATGATCTTACCAGACAACTGATCCAGCATTAAGTTAGATGGATGGCGGTCACCCAAACCTAATACATATCCTACCATTGACATGACAGCTAAAGAGCGTGTGTAGTTTGTACGCCGATCAAACCAAACTTCGGAAGAAGGACTCTTAAACCAAAGTAAACGGGCAAGATCATCACCTTGAGTGTGCTCTAAGGCATGCTCAAATACTTCAACTTTTTGCATTAAGGTCAGATGTTCCAGATCCTGAGCCATGCGCATCATTATTCTGTGCTCAATATTCAGCAAGATCTTCTTTTTCTCTCGCCAGTCTCTTATGAGAGCATGAAGAGTATCACAATGTGGCACCCAACCAATAAGGCCTGAGTTGGTTGACAATGGGATGACAGCAAAGCGCTGAATAGTTAAGTTGCGGCGGAAAGTATCAGGATTGCTGATAAGAAGAGTATTTACTAGCCCAAAGAGTTGCATCACTCTTTCATCTTGTCGGAGGTCTTCATGCCCTTTCAACAAGAAGACAAAGTCCCGACCATTGCTTCCTTTGATACAAAGTTTACGTGGACGTTGTTTAGATGACAACACTTGTAATGAAGACTGTACCTGGCTAATACATATAACAGGAGTGTTAGGCGCATAAGACCCAGGGACTGCAATATCTAGATCCCTACACTTCAGAAGTCTAGGTGAAACAGACTGAAGTTCCAAAGAAGTAAGTTGGGGAAGCTGGCGAGAAATACGACGGAACACGTGGTAGTAGAGGTCCCATGCTTGATTCAGCTCACGTACATTGCCTGTCCTTTGGTAACGCCGACACCACTCTTGTGCTTCATTAAGGTCTCTCCCATAGGCCTAAAATGAACATAAACAAGATACTGACTTCATTATTTCACGATGTTTTCCATTACTTACAGCATTCAAGTTATTACCAAGTCAGCAATGTATTGTATAACAAATTTAGAGCTCAAGTCCTACTGATGAATCAGCTTACTCAGAAAATGTTAATGTGTATTCCCTTTATTCAAGTTATAGTTGTGAACAAGTGCCTAATTAAAATACAGAACAGCATATGGTAGAATCTAATATACAAATGTCTTGCAATACTTTCTCAGATTTGCAGAAAAAATGTGTGATAACTATGGATATAACTAAATTGCAATAACTAGGTTGGGAGGAAAAATGATGCTAATATTTTTTGGGTCATATACCCAGCTAAGGTCAATTCTTAACTAAAGGTATAAGAATCTTTACTAGACTACACCTCCTCTAATCTCATTTGTGTATATAATAATGCCAAGACCAACTATCTACAGCTCATTTTTTTAACAATTTTACTTAACACTGTAATTCCTTCTAGAGGTAATAAAGAAATAACAGGAGTGAAGAATACTTGCCTGATTAAAGGACATCTCTTTGAGTGTCTGTGGGCCTCGTTCCATCATGGCATGAAGAGGCTCCAATGTCCGGAACATACCTGATTCGTTTTTCTCTCCAAAATATAGTCGGCTTGCCTCTTCTAAACCTTCATGCCAAATTTCATGCCACAAAATTGCTACTCGAATTAGCTCTTCTGATACCTAAGGAATATAGAATAATGCCACATCATGATAGTGATACTGTAATATTTTAATAAGTACTGTATTTCATGATTGAATTTAATACGTAACTCTTGAATGCCCAGCACTGTGGTAATACAAAACCTACTGTTACTTGCCTGTTTACCTAAATATTCATCTATACCCTACCCTGAGCTGCCAAACTCTGTCCCAAACACCCCACTGTCACAAGGCATCCAATATTCACCTGGTTACCAGATTTCAACCAAAATTGCTTAAAATTTGGGAAATAGATAACACAATCTCCTTGAAGAGTTTCGAGAGTTTATCTACTCTCTGAGCCCAGCCATGGACCAGGCTTGTCTGGTGCTTGCCTGGTCAACCAGGCTGTTGCTACTGGAGCCCTGCTGCCCTACATATCCATCACAGCCTGGTTGATCTGTCACCTGGTGAAGATACTTGTCCAGTTTCCTCTTGAAGGCTTCTACACATTCCAGCAGGGCTTCTGATATCTTCTGGCATGATGTTGAATAGTCTGGGACCCCAAATGTTGATACAGTGTTTCCTTATTGTCCCCACCACACCCCTGCTCCTCACTGGATTTATTTTACATAACACTCCAGGATGTTATGGCAGTGTGCAGATTTGGGACCAGGCCCTCGAGTATTTTCCAGGTGTATATTATCATGCATTTCTCTCTCCTCCACTCCCATGAATACATGTTCAAGACTTGCAGGCATTCCCAGTAGTTTAGGTGCTTTACAGGCTCAATGTGAGCTGTAAACGATCTCTATTTGTTCCAGCTCTGATATTTCTCCTACTTTGAATGGGGCCATCAGCACTTAGCAATATTCTAAGTGAGGGAGCACTAGCGATTTGAAGTGTGTCACCATTGGCATTATTTCCCTTGTTTTGAAAGTTCTTAGTACCCACCCTGTCATCTTCCTGGCTGTCGTGATCTTTGTCTTGTTATGGCCATTAAAAGAAAGGTCCACTGACATAATTATTCCTTGGTCTTTTACGTGCTCCTTACGTTCTATTTGGTGACCCTCTTGAGTTTTGTATATAGTGTTCCTTTTGAGTTCTTCATTCTTTCCATAACTAAACAGCTGAAACTTGTCACCATTGAACGTCATGTTGTTATCCACTGCCCACTGGAAAACCCTGTTTATGTCTTCCTGTACTTTTTCAGTGTCATCTATTGTAGTGACTTTCAGTTAAAGTAAGACTACAATAAGTTTTAATGTATGGTACATTAACTTTAGATCTATGCACCACCTCCAAATCATAATTTTGTTAACAGCAGAGACAGTCATTCCATGAATAACAGTGAATGTGTTTCCTTTTTTTAACACATTTCAAAATGCTCAATGAGCTAAAAACAGAAAGGAAAAAACAGCAGAGAAAAAGAGTGCTTACCATCATGGCTTGTTGAACCAAGTTAGCCGAATGTTCCCGCATGTTCTTGAGTATTTTCTCAGCAGCCTGTGATCGAGCTGTCACAGATGACTTGGCTGCTACAGTCAGGGGATATATGAGGGCCTGCAGAAGAAAAACTGTAAAGAACTTACTAGCTAAAACAGAATAAAAATTTCTGTATCAGAACTCAAGAAGATCAACTAATAACTACATGTCCAGTATTTCATGAAGCACTAATCCTGAGTGGATCATTTAGCATGGTGGTTTGGACACGAAACAAGTTACAGGGGCACAAAGAGCCCAAACAACCCTACAAAGGTAAACTAAAGTTAAAACATCAAACAATTCTTTTATTCACATGAATAAAAGCCTTTTTAAACCTTTAAGACTGTAAGTATATCCGGTTATTTACAGCAAAATATAACACAGGAATGCACCACGTGATTATTTTGCCGACATGTATTATTGTTGTGCGAGGAAGGTGAAAGTAACAGTAGGTATTCAGAAGTAGCATCTGGCAAACACATGGCAGCTCGCCTGTGTACATAATACTTATTTTCTCCCACAACTAAACAAAAAACTATGTGGTAATATACAGTACCAAATATCAAATCACCCTCCACAAATGGATAAATGGTTGGCAACAACTTTGACCTCTGTGAGTGAGGCTATTTTTAACCTTCTTTATAGGATTACCTATAAACCATTAATATCTTGTAGAACGAGGCTATCTTTAATGCTCTTTACCTACGTATAATGCTTTTTTCCTACCTCCCCTAGGCAAGCGACTTGCCACTCCATCAAAAGTATTGAGGGAGTAATGATGACAATGGTGAAGATGCTCAAAAAAAAAAAATGTTTACAAATTTAGCAAAAATACTGACCAAGTCAGAATATCTCATCAAACTCTCATTCTAAATATTTAGGTAGAATGATATGACTGTTTTACACTGGTTCAGTCTATAACAATACCTGAGGGTGGTGCTTCCCAATGTCCATGAGTAATTGGTGAATTAGCTTCCCAACCAGTGTGCGTGGAGTGTCAATCCTGGCAATCAGCTGGGGAATAACCTGAATTAAGAAAAGAGAGATATATATAATGATATGTTTATATTAACTAAGTAATGTGCAACAGAATATGTGATGAAAATTACAGTGAATTTCAGTGTAAACATCAAAACACTAATGTGAAATTAAGACATGTAGAATGTTAAGATACTTAATGAAGATAACACTTCACCACAAATGGTAAAATGTTTCCTCAATAAAATATCCTAATACTGGATGTGTCTTTATTTTATTCAAACTGTTGGTACAATATATCATACCAATTGTTGTTACCAATCAAACACTAACAAAAACTTGGTAAGAATAAGAAAATGTTCTTTGTTTTTTTTTTTTTTATTATCACACTGGCCGATTCCCACCAAGGCAGGGTGGCCCGAAAAAGAAAAACTTTCACCATCATTCACTCCATCACTGTCTTGCCAGAAGGGTGCTTTACACTACAGTTTTTAAACTGCAACATTAACACCCCTCCTTCAGAGTGCAGACACTGTACTTCCCATCTCCAGGACTCAAGTCCGGCCTGCTGGTTTCCCTGAACCCCTTCATAAATGTTACTTTGCTCACACTCCAACAGCACGTCAAGTATTAAAAACCATTCGTCTCCATTCACTCCTATCAAACACGCTCACGCACGCCTGCTGAAGTCCAAGCCCCTCGCACACAAAAAACCTCCTTTTACCCCCTCCTCCAACCTTTCCTAGGCCGACCCCTACCCCGCCTTCCTTCCACTACAGACTGATACACTCTGAAGTCATTCTGTTTCGCTCCATTCTCTCTACATGTCCGAACCACCTCAACAACCCTTCCTCAGCCCTCTGGACAACAGTTTTGGTAATCCCACACCTCCTCCTAACTTCCAAACTACGAATTCTCTGCATTTTATTCACACCACACATTGCCCTCAGACATGACATCTCCACTGCCTCCAGCCTTCTCCTCACTGCAACATTCATCACCCATGCTTCACACCCATATAAGAGCATTGGTAAAACTATACTCTCATACATTCCCCTCTTTGCCTCCAAGGACAAAGTTCTTTGTCTCCACAGACTCCTAAGTGCACCACTCACCCTTTTCCCCTCATCAATTCTATGATTCACCTCATCTTTCATAGACCCATCCACTGACACGTCCACTCCCAAATATCTGAATACATTCACCTCCTCCATACTCTCTCCCTCCAATCTAATATCCAATCTTTCATCACTTAATATTTTTGTTATCCTCATAACCTTACTCTTTCCTGTATTCACTTTTAATTTTCTTCTTTTGCACACCCTACCAAATTCATCCACCAATCTCTGCAACTTCTCTTCAGAATCTCCCAAGAGCACAGTGTCATCAGCAAAGAGCAACTGTGACAACTCCCACTTTATGTGTGATTCTTTATCTTTTAACTCCACGCCTCTTGTCAAGACCCTCGCATTTACTTCTCTTACAACCCCATCTATAAATATATTAAACAACCACGGTGACATCACACATCCTTGTCTAAGGCCTACTTTTACTGGGAAATAATTTCCCTCTTTCCTATGTACTCTAACTTGAGCCTCACTATCCTCGTAAAAACTCTTCACTGCTTTCAGTAACCTACCTCCTACACCATACACCTGCAACATCTGCCACATTGCCCCCCTATCCACCCTGTCATATGCCTTTTCCAAATCCATAAATGCCACAAAGACCTCTTTAGCCTTATCTAAATACTGTTCACTTATATGTTTCACTGTAAACACCTGGTCCACACACCCCCTACCTTTCCTTGTTGTCTTCCTGTAAAGGGATGCCTTGATGCAAAGCAATAGATTTATCCTACCCTTTGTTGGATTAAACCTGATTATTTTCTACTTCCCAGGTGCTGTATGACTCCTACAGCTTCCCTATAAATATATCTTCGTTGTAAGTAGGCTAACCTGAAGCCATGTGTCAATCTGAATAGTCTTGAGACCATCAACCAGTGCCTCATATACCCCAGGTTGATGCCCATGCTCAAACCAGACGGTCAGAAGTCGCAAAGTATCCTGGAGACTATTCCCATCGCTCAGCGATATAGACCGAATAAAACCTTTTACTGCTGCCACTGTAAAATCGCCAGCAGATTTCTGAAAAAAAGAAGAAATAATACACCTGTAATTTTGCTGACAACACTGAGGATAAATAAATATACAAGGTATGATGTAGCACGTAATGAAAGTAGTTTGTTAGATTATGTATTGGTGGATAAAAGGTTGATGGGTAGGCTCCAGGATGTACATGTTTATAGAGGGGCAACTGATATATCAGATCATTATTTAGTTGTAGCTACAGTTAGAGTAAGAGGTAGATGGGAAAAGAGGAAGGTGGCAACAACAAGTAAGAGGGAGGTGAAAGTGTATAAACTAAGGGAGGAGGAAGTTCGGGCGAGATATTAAGCGACTATTGGCAGAAAGGTGGGCTAGTGCAAAGATGAGTAGTGGGGGGGTTGAAGAGGGTTGGAATAGTTTTAAAAATGCAGTATTAGAATGTGGGGCAGAAGTTTGTGGTTATAGGAGGGTGGGGGCAGGAGGAAAGAGGAGTGATTGGTGGAATGATGAAGTAAAGGGTGTGATAAAAGAGAAAAAGGTAGCTTACGAGAGGTTTTTACAAAGCAGAAGTGTTATAAGAAGAGCAGAGTATATGGAGAGTAAAAGAAAGGTGAAGAGAGTGGTGAGAGAGTGCAAAAGGAGAGCAGATGAAAGAGTGGGAGAGGCACTGTCAAGAAATTTTAATGAAAATAAGAAAAATTTTTGGAGTGAGTTAACCCTTTGAGGGTCGACAGGCCCTCTCCGAAACTCGTTCTCAGGGTCGGCCAAATTTAAAAAAAAAAAAAATTATTTTCTCTTATGAAAAGATAGAGAATCTTTTTCCGATCATAACGACACCAAAAGTTTGAAATTTGATAGAAAACTTACGGAATTATGCTCTCGCAAAGTTAGCGGTCTCGGCGATGTTTACGCATCGGCGATTTTGCCCACTCTGAGCCCCATTTTCGGCCAATTTCACTGTACTAGTCGACAAAAAACATGAATATTTCGCTAGAACTCCATTTTTTCTATCGAATGGGTGCAAGAAACCACCCATTTATAAATTCAACTATCCAGTACAGTGGTCAGAATTTAGTAATTTTGCCAATTTCACACAAATTTCAAAAGATGCCAATTTCTGAATAGGGTCCAGAATAAACAAGATAGACATTGCTGGCACTAAAATGACATTTCCTCTAGTCATTAGTCACGTCTCAAGGCCCCTCTTATATTCTTTTGCTTTCCACTTTGAATTTTTATTCTCACAAAAAATATAAGATTTACTGTTATGCAGACTACTGCATTAGTGTAAAAATTGGTATAAATATTATTGGTGCACTTGTGAAAGAATATTAGACTCACCAGTTGACGTGTATTGCACGCTTGGCACGATTTGTTTACTTTTGAAGTTTGGTAAAAATCGAACATTTCTGCTACTTTGAGCTCAATTTCAAGGCACCTTTCATTGTAAAACCAGTCAAAATCATCACAATTTCAGTAATATGTCTTCCATTCTATAAAATGAGACAAAGAAAACTAGAATAGAACAATAAATACCATACGAAAATACACTGCAAAGTCGCTGATTTATTAAAAAAAAATGGTCAAAGTTTTTTTTTTCTCATTATGCACTGTGTGCTGCAGGATTTTTTTTAGACTGTGCACACTGACCACATAGACCCATTCTTTCATATGAAGGCCAACCAGCTTTCTCCCACTAGATTTGAGGCCGCTAGAATTTATGAGTACTAGTACGTCAAAAACCCCTACACGTAAGACGTACTAGTACGACGAAAACCCTCAAAGGGTTAAACAAGTTAAAAAAGCCTAGGGAAAGTATGGATTTGTCCGTTAAAAACAGAGTAGGGGAGTTAGTAGATGGGGAGAGGGAGGTATTAGGTAGATGGCGAGAATATTTTGAGGAACTTTTAAATGTTGAGGAAGAAAGGGAGGTGGTAATTTCATGCACTGGCCAGGGAGGTATACCATCCTTTAGGAGTGAAGAAGAGCAGAATGTAAGTGTGGTGGAGGTACGTGAGGCATTACGTAGAATGAAAGCGGGTAAAGCAGCTGGAACTGATGGGATCATGACAGAAATGTTAAAAGCAGGGGGGGATATAGTGTTGGAGTGGTTGGTACTTTTGTTTAATAAATGTATGAAAGAGGGGAAGGTACCTAGGGATTGGCAGAGAGCATGTATAGTCCCTTTATATAAAGGGAAAGGGGACAAAAGAGATTGTAAAAATTATAGAGGAATAAGTTTACTGAGTATACCAGGAAAAGTATACGGTAGGGTTATAATTGAAAGAATTAGAGGTAAGACAGAATGTAGAATTGCGGATGAGCAAGGAGGCTTCAGAGTGGGTAGGGATGTGTAGATCAAGTGTTTACATTGAAGCATATATGTGAACAGTATTTAGATAAAGGTAGGGAAGTTTTTATTGCATTTATGGATTTAGAAAAGGCATATGATAGAGTGGTATAGAGGAGCAATGTGGCAGATGTTGCAAGTTTATGGAATAGGTGGTAAGTTACTAAATGCTGTAAAGAGCTTTTATGAGGATAGTGAGGCTCAGGTTAGGGTGTGTAGAAGAGAGGGAGAATACTTCCCGGTAAAAGTAGGTCTTAGACAGGGATGTGTCATGTCACCATGGTTGTTTTAATATATTTATAGATGGGGTTGTAAAAGAAGTAAATGCTAGGGTGTTCGGGAGAGGGGTAGGATTAAATTATGGGGAATCAAATTCAAAATGGGAATTGACACAGTTACTTTTTGCTGATGATACTGTGCTTATGGGAGATTCTAAAGAAAAATTGCAAAGGTTAGTGGATGAGTTTGAGAATGTGTGTGAAGGTAGAAAGTTGAAAGTGAACATAGAAAAGAGTAAGGTGATGAGGGTATCAAATGATTTAGATAAAGAAAAATTGGATATCAAATTGGGGAGGAGGAGTATGGAAGAAGTGAATGTTTTCAGATACTTGGGAGTTGACGTGTCGGCGGATGGATTTATGAAGGATGAGGTTAATCATAGAATTGATGAGGGAAAAAAGGTGAGTGGTGCGTTGAGGTATATGTGGAGTCAACAAACGTTATCTATGGAGGCAAAGAAGGGAATGTATGAAAGTATAGTAGTACCAACACTCTTATATGGATGTGAAGCTTGGGTGGTAAATGCAGCAGCGAGGAGACGGTTGGAGGCAGTGGAGATGTCCTGTCTAAGGGCAATGTGTGGTGTAAATATTATGCAGAAAATTCGGAGTGTGGAAATTAGGAGAAGGTGTGGAGTTAATAAAAGCATTAGTCAGAGGGTAGAAGAGGGGTTGTTGAGGTGGTTTGGTCATTTAGAGAGAATGGATCAAAGTAGAATGACATGGAAAGCATATAAATCTATAGGGGAAGGAAAGAGGGGTAAGGGTCGTCCTCGAAAGGGTTGGAAAGAGGGGGTAAAGGAGGTTTTGTGGGCGAGGGGCTTGGACTTCCAGCAAGCGTGCATGAGCGTGTTAGATAGGAGTGAATGGAGACGAATGATACTTGGGACCTGACGATCTGTTGGAGTTTGAGCAGGGTAATATTTAGTGAAGGGATTCAGGGAAACCGGTTATTTTCATATAGTCGGACTTGAGTCCTGGAAATGGGAAGTACAATGCCTGCACTTTAAAGGAGGGGTTTGGGATATTGGCAGTTTGGAGGGATATGTTGTGTATCTTTATACGTATATGCTTCTAAACTGTTGTATTCTGGGCACCTCTGCAAAAGCAGTGATAATGTGTGAGTGTGGTGAAAGTGTTGAATGATGATGAAAGTATTTTCTTTTTGGGGATTTTCTTTCTTTTTTGGGTCACCCTGCCTCGGTGGGAGACGGCCGACTTGTTGGAAAAAAAAAAAACACTGAGGTTGAATAAACTATCATGTTTATAAATGCTATACTCAATGCCTGCACTTTAAAGGAGGGGTTTGGGATATTGGCAGTTTGAAGGGATATGTTGTGTATCTTTATACGTATATGCTTCTAAACTGTTGTATTCTGAGCACCTATGCAAAAACAGTGATTATGTGTGAGTGTGGTGAAAGTGTTGAATGATGATGAAAATATTTTCTTTTTGAGGATTTTCTTTCTTTTTTGGGTCACCCAGTCTCTGTGGGAGACAGCCGACTTGTTGGAGAAAAAAAAAAAAAGCTATTTACGTATATTCCTATACATGCAGGCCCCATTTACAGCACTTCATTTTACAGAATTCTGCTTATACAGTGGACCCCCGCCTTACAATGGCATTGTGTTACGTTAAATCCGCCATACGATACATTTTAACGCAAAAATTTTGCCTCGCCTCACACTAAAAAACTCGCCTTACGTGATTTGTCTGGGACGCGTCCCACGTGTGGCCTCAGCACCAGTATTTACAAGCCAGCCAGTGTGGTCGCATCTACGTATACATTCGGTACATTTCACATTATCCCAGTGTTTTTAGTGCTTGTAACTGCAAGATAAGTCACCATGGACCCCAAGAAAACTTCTAGTGCCATCCCTGTGGTAAAAAGGGCGAGAATTAGTATGGAATTGAAAAAAGAGATTAAGGAAATGTGTGCAAAGTGGGTTGAACTGCAAACCTTTACGGATGAAAATCGCCCTGACACAGCTACTGCAAGCCGTGTTGGCAACCTGTACAATGACAATGTTATGGCCCATTTTAGGAATGTCTTAAAGGAACGGGAGATACAGAGCTCTATGGACAGATTTGTTGTGCGACAGAGGTCCATTGACTCTCAAGCTGGTCTTAGTGGCATTAAAAGAAGAAGGGAAGTAACCCCGGAAAAGGACTTGCTACCTCAAGCCCTAATGGAAGGGGATTCCCCTTCTAAACAATAACTTCCACACTCTCCCCTCCTCCCATCCCATCAATCATCACCAGATCTTCAATAAAGGTAAGCGTCATGTATTCTATTCTTAGCAGAGTAGTAACTGTGCATGTCTTCTTTGGTCTGTGTGTATCAAAATTAAGATTTCATGTGGTAAAAAAAATTTTTTTTTCATACTTTGGGGTGTCTTGCACGGATTAATTTGATTTCCATTATTTCTTATGGGGAAAATTAATTCACCTTGCGATAATTTCGGCTTACGATGAGCTCTCAGGAACAGATTAATATCATAAGGCGAGGGTCCACTGTACAGCGAGTTTCAATTATACCCGTTCTTCATTTTTTGGACTTCCTACAATAAATATATTCACCACTCACTATATACATTTTTCAAGTCTAGCTCTATTGCTCACTTCACATTTGATAATGTAAACATTTGAAAGAAAAAGAAAGGGGGAGGGGGAAGAGAGAGGATATGTTTCACTTTACAGTAGTAGCCTGGAACCTAACCTGCTGTAAAAGCGGGGCCCACCTGTACCTGCTTTTTACCTATTTTCTGCTTAAGATCTTCTCTTACCATCAATGTTTAAATTTCCACAATACTGAAGCTACTCACAAGCAGTAAAAGCCTTTCTGGAACACTTAAAACTGGTCACGAGTTTCAAATGGGAGATTTAACATAGTGAAGAAATCATCACTTTACTAAGAAACAGTGTAGGAAAAGAAGTACCTAAGTAAATACAATTAAGGAAACAGAATTAATGTTAGTATAGGAAATACAATTAGACAAGGTTATAACAACAATACATATAACAGACAGGACAAAATAAATTTATAAAGAAAGCTAATTAACTACTAAACAAGAAAAAATGGGAGAGTTGAAATACAAAACAAAAAATCAATACTGTAGTTCCAAAAATCAAAAAATATTTTTTCTCACCTTCTTCTTGTTAGGAGTACCAGACTCCTCCCCACTGCTGTCAGACTTCACACCCTCACTCTTGTTCTTGTAAAAAAGTATGGCTTCAAAATTCATATATGCATATGCATGCCACGCTTTGTAGCAGGACTCGTCTGTTTCTTTAGCAAGAGTGTAATAATTAAGGATCTGACTTATGTTCTCCTCATTCAGTCCATGAAGCTGTTCATACCTGTACAGTAACAGGAATATTCAATACAAAATCTAAGAAATTTTTCCTTCCCATATTAGCCAAAGACTACTTACTACATATTCAAGTAGAAACTCACATTTGTTAATTGTTACATTGCTTACAATTAACAGATAATGCAAATGCATCACTGTCTGAGATGGCTTAATTTTTTTAATACAATGGATATCTCCCACCTAGGTAGTAGGTTGGTAAACAGCAACTGCCCAGGGAGGTACTACTGTCCTGCCAAGTGAGTGTACAATGAAAACCTGTAATTGTTTTACATGATGGTAGGATTGCTAGTGTCTTTTGTCTGTCTCATAAACATGCAAGATTTCAGATATGTCTTGCTACTTCTACTTGCACTTAGGTCACACTACACATACATGTTCTTTCTTTCTTTCAACACACTGGCTGTATCCCACCGAGGCGGGGTGGCCCAAAAGGAAAAACGAAAGTTTCTCCTTTTGCATTTAGTAATATATACAGGAGAAGAGGTTACTAGCCCCTTGCTCCCGGCATTTTAGTCGCCTCTTACAACACGCATGGCTTACGGAGGAAGAATTCTGTTCCACTTCCCCATGGAGGTAAGAGGAAATAAACAAGAAGAACTAGAAAGAAAATAGAAGAAAACCCAAAGGGGTGTGTATATATATGCTTGTACATGTATGTGTAGTGTGACCTAAGTGTAAGTAGAAGTAGCAAGACGTACCTGAAATCTTGCATGTGTATGAGACAGAAAAAAAAAGACACCAGCAATCCTACCATCGTGTAAAACAGTTACAGGCTTCAGTTTTACATTCACTTGGCAGGACGGTAGTACCTCCCTGGGCGGTTGCTGTCTACCAACCTACTACCTAGGACACATACATGTACAAGCTCTCTGTGAGCAGTGTCAAGTTCCAGTATCAATTAGCCACATTCTGTTAGACTGCCCTCTCTATCAACGAGCACGCAGAATTTACCTCCAACGTCGTCTCCGTTCTACTACTCTCTCTTTACCTTCCCTTCTTGCTGATGGACCCTCCTTTAATCCTGACTCTCTCATTGACTTCTTGACAACGACTGATTTACTCCACAAACTCTGATGATACTTTTCGCACTCCCCTCAGCCCTTTCTAGTTCAGTCTCTTGCTGCCCTTTACCCTTTCACCATCCACTACCCCGCTGTTATCCGTAACCTATTACTCGTCCATCTCCCTTTTGCCACCTGATGCCCTCGCTTCCTTCCTGCCCTGCAGCGCTGTATAGTCCTTGTGGCTTAGCGCTTCTTTTTGATTATAATAATAATAATAATTTCTAGTTCTTGTTCTTGTTTATTTCCTCTTATCTCCATGGGGAAGTGGAACAGAATTCTTCCTCCGTAAGCCATGCCTGTTGTAAGAGGCGACTAAAATGCCGGGAGCAAGGGGCTAGTAACCCCTTCTCCCGTATAAAGTACTAAATTTAAAAGAGAAACTTTCGTTTTTCTTTTTGGGCCACCCTGCCTTGGTGGGATATGGCCGGTGTGTTGAAAGAAAGAAAAAAGGATATCTCCCACCAAGGCAGGGTGACTCGAAAGTAAGGAAATATAGTCGACATCATTCATTCATTGCTATCTTGCCAGAAGTGTGCTAACATCACAGTTCAGTTGACTCTCCAAACTGCAATATCTCCAACTCTCCTTTAGAGTGCAGACACTCTAAAGGAGTTAGCTGGTCTCAAGTCCAGTTAACTGGTTCCCTGAATTTCTTCATAAATGTTACCTCACTCACACTCCAACAGCACATCATCATAAAAACCACTTGTTGCTATTCACTGTGAATTCACGCAGAACACTTATCAATCATAATACATTTTAAAATCATGATTGCACTCATTTTTTTTTAAACTGACAGCCTTCTCCTGACCCAAAGAAAGCGCAATCACCAACATTCACTCAACTGACGTCAGATTACCCTCAAACAGCAACATTCAGAGTAATGGCACTTCCCTTCTTAAACTCAAGTCAAGCCAACCAATTTTCCCTGAATCATTGTGCCAAGTAAGAAATGTATCGAAGAATAAGTCCAAATACTTTGCTGAAATAATTCACAACTAACCCACAAATGGAAATAAAAGCTGAAAAAAGGTCCCTCTTGCACAATTATCAACATGAAAAGAAATGTCAAAGAACACTAAACATAAAACAAGTTCAGTCATGCAAGATCACAAACTACTGTATTACTGATAATACAACCTAACCCTCAAGTATTTTAACATACAGAAGGTATAATAAATTCAATAGAAATTACAATAGTCCTACCCAAGGATGCTTCATCATAGCTTGCCTAATTTTTTTCATAAAAATATTTCATCTGGGGAGAGAGGAGCCTCTAAGTTGTGCATCTTCCAATCTGCATACTAGACTTTCACTGGTATGTACATAGCAGAAGGAAAATCATTAATAAATGAGCAGCAGGGAAAAGATATACCTGGACACTACATGCAGTATTGACCCACCAAGAACCATGAAAATAAGTATTGGTGGAGACAATGCATGAAAAAGACAATTAAAGTGAACCTCACCATTCTCCAAGTTTGAGGTAGACTCTGGATACCAACTTGCGCAGTTTACCATCCCCATTCTGACCAACAACAACTGCTGGAGCCAAGTACTGTAGGAATTTCTGCAATCGCCTGCAAAATATCAGGGGATTAATCTTCTCGTTTTTCAGCTACTACTAATATGCAATTAAACATGGAAATTTACTAGGGATGCAAGCTAAAAATACATACCCATGAGCTTCCAGTCGTCTATTCGGGTACGTGTAAATATGTTTACAGTACTGGTAAGTCACATGTGGGTGGGTAGCTGGAAGTGCTTGAGTAGGATTTGTGGATGGGTCACACCCCAAGAGCCGCACAAGAGTTTTGTGAGATAGCGCCAAGCGACCTGACTTGCGACAGAGGGAGGCAAACTTTAACCAAGGACGCATATCCTCCTGTGGGCTAAGAACCAAAGAGCGAACCTGGAGTATTTTCTGCCAGTCTTCAACGACACGCTGACAGCCCTAGAATATAAATACTTAGATTAATAAAAACACTATTTTACAGATTAAATATAAGCAAAGTCTGCAATCTTGCTTAACGATGTGAGGCATCAAATCCTAAATGAAAACTCTTTTAATATTGTGCATGATGCTTCAAAAAAATAATTTGAGAAAAAAAATGAACCTCACACATATCAGAGAGACAAAGAATAGGCAAACAAGTATGGTGCTTCATGTTCACCAGAGTTAAACTTGTCGATACTGCATATGTCACTTATTGATATTTTTTTAATACACTGGCCATCTCCCACCAAGACAGGGAGACTCGAGAGAGGTTAGTAGCCCCTTACCCCTGGCATTTTAGTCACCTCTTATGGCCCGCACAGCTTACAGAAGAAGGATTTTTCTCCACTTGCCCATGGAGGTTGATAATTATTTATTTAGGAAAAAAGCAAATATGAGATTTATGGTACAATAAAAAATGAATAAACTACAGAAAAATTACAATAAATGACACAGGAACAAAACAATTACATATCAATGAAACTGACTAATCAGAGTACCACCAGCTACATGCAAGGTTTTCAGTAAGAAAATTTATTGCCAAGAATAACAAATTTCAACCAACCAACCAACCTGTAGTCTTTCCCACCAGATCTGAGTAATAGGCTGTCTCCTCTCTGGCACTAGCTTGTACTGTATCACCTCCTCTAGCTCAGCGAGCATCTGTACTGCCACCATAGCATTGTAAGCTCGCTGGTAACTCTCACCCACCATGGCCGTCAGTTCTGTGTCCAGCAGATCTCGGGCATTATCAATAAGCTGTGGATATTTTCACTTGTTTCATCACAGCACTTGCCTTTTACTTGAATTATTTAAATGTAAAAAAATCAAACAAGCAAACACATGCAGACATATTATATAAAACAATTAAGGAAATAGCACTAGTTTATGCAATACCTAGTATAAATATTAAAAAAAAAAAAAAAACTGACAGAGTATGGTACAGAACAGTTTTATAACAACTTCAATTATTTTAACCACAGTTTTTTCCTCAGATATTCAAAGCACTAAGAGAAAAAAGATGAGATATTTATGCATTACACACCTGCTGTGCCATATAGTACTGGTCCTTATGCACTGCCAGCACAGCACGGTAAAATGCTCCTTCCTGTGTGTCAAATGGGATATATTTGGCATAATCCTCCATCATTGTCCACTCTCCCATTGCCCATGCTGAAGCTGCTGCCACTCGGGACATCTGACCACGGAACTCATCAGCCATGGAGCCATCCCAACGATCACATGATACACTGTATAGTTCACCCCTATGGTATAAACATGTGATATTAGTGTTAAATCTGATACAAAGTGGGAACTGTCACAGTTGTTCTTAACTGAAGACACTGTTCTTTCGGGAGATTCTGAAAAGAAGTTGCAAAGGTTGGTGGATGAATTTGGGAGGGTATGTAAAAGAAGGATTTTAGGGGTGAATATAGGAAAGTGCAAGGTGATGAGAATAACACAAAATCAAGGCAATGAAAGACTGGATATCAGATTGAAAAGATAGAATACAGAGGAAGTAAATGTGTTCAGATATAAGACTTGTTCACAGATGAGTCTATGAAAGACAAGGGGGTAAAGCAGCTGGAACTGACAGGATCATGACAGAAATGTTAAAAGCAGGGGGGGATATAGTGTTGGAGTGGTTGGTACTTTTGTTTAATAAATGTATGAAAGAGGGGAAGGTACCTAGGGATTGGCAGAGAGCATGTATAGTCCCTTTATATAAAGGGAAGGGGGACAAAAGAGATTGTAAAAATTATAGAGGAATAAGTTTACTAAGTATACAAGGAAAAGTGTACGATAGGCTTATAATTGAAAGAATTAGAGGTAAGACAGAATGTAGGACTGTGGATGAGCAAGGCGGTTTCAGAGTGGGTAGGGGATGTGTAGATCAACTGTTTACATTGAAGCATATATGTAAACAGTATTTAGATAAAGGTAGGGAAGTTTTTATTGCATTTATGGATTTAGAAAAGGCATATGATGGAGTGGATAGGGAAGCAATGTGGCAGATGTTACAAGTATATGGAATAGGTGGTAAGTTACTAAATGCTGTAAAGAGTTTTTATGAGGATGGTGAGGCTCAGGTTAGGGTGTGTAGAAGAGAGGGAGACTACTTCCCAGTAAAAGTAGGTCTTACATAGGGATGTGTAATGTCACCATGGTTGTTTAATATATTTATAGATGGGGTTGTAAAAGAAGTAAATGCTAGGGTGTTTGGGAGAGGGGTGAGATTAAATTATGGGGAATCAATTACAAAATAGGAATTGACACAGTTACTTTTTCTGATGATACTGTGATTATGGGAGATTCTAAACAAAAATTGCAAAGGTTAGTGGATGAGTTTTGGAGTGTGTGCAAAGGAAGAAAGTTGAAAGTGAATATAGAAAAGAGTAAGGTGATGAGGGTATCAAATGATTTACATAAAGAAAAATTGGATATCAAACTGGGAGTTGACATGTCGGCAGATGGATTTATGAAGGATGAGGTTAATTATAGAATTGATGAAGGAAAAAAGGCGAGTGGTGCATTGAGGTATATGTGGAGACAAAAAACGTTATCTATGGAGGGAAAGAAGGGAATGTATGAAAGTATAGTAGTACCAACACTCTTATATGGGTGTGAAGCTTGGGTTGTGAATGCAGCAGCGAGGAGGCAGTGGAGATGTCTGTCTAAGGGCAATATGTGGTGTAAATATTATGCAGAAAATTCGGAGTGTGGAAATTAGGAGGTGTGGAGTTAATAAAAGTATTAGTCAGAGGGCTGAAGAGGGGTTGTTGAGGTGGTTTGGTCATTTAGAGAGAATGGATCAAAGTAGAATGACAGGGAGAGCATTTAAATCTGTAGGGGAAGGAAGGCGGGGGTAGGGGTCATCCTCGAAAAGGCTGGGAGGAAGGGGTAAGGGAGGTTTTGTGGGAGAGGGGCTTGGACTTCCAACAGGCGTGCATGAGCGTGTTTGATAGGACTGAATGGAGACGAATGGTATTTGGGACCTGACGATCTGTTGGAGTGTGAGCAGGGTAATATTTAGTGAAGGGATTCAGGGAAACCGGTTATTTTTAAATAGCCGGACTTGAGTCCTGGAAACGGGAAGTACAATGCCTGAACTCTAAAGGAGGGGTTTCGGGATATTAGCAGTTTGGAGGGATATGTTGTGTATCTTTATACGTATATGCTTCTAAACTGTTGTGTTCTGAGCACCTCTGCAAAAACAGTGATTATGTGTGAGTGAGGTGAAAGTGTTGAATGATGATGAATGTATTTTCTTTTTGGGGATTTTCTTTCTTTTTGGCTCACCCTGTCTCGGTGGGAGATGGCTGACTTGTTAAAAAAAAAAAAAAAAATGTCTACCATTTCATAAAATGAGACAAGGAAAACTAGAATACAACCATTAGTACCATATGGAAATACAGTGCAAAGTTGCTGTTTTAAATCAAAAACAAAGTTTTTCTTTTCTCATTACGCACTGTGTGCTGCAGGATTTTTTTTTTATGCTTTGCACACTGACCACATAGACCCATTCTTTCATACGTAGGCCTACCAGCTTTCTCTCCCTAGATTTGAAGGCGCTAGAATTTACGCGTACTAGTACGTCAATAACTCTGGTGCTTAAGACGTACTAGTATGTCAGAAACCCTGAAAGGGTTAACTGTAGAAATATCTGTGTAATTGAGGTTAGACTATCCAACTATCAACTGTTAAATAAACAATCAATGATGTTTGGCATAACTTAGGAGCAAATCACTCATATTTTGGCCCTTATTTCAAAATTACTCTGACTTCTTTTCAGCTGTTCCCAAGGTATGTAACCTCGATTTTCATGGTGTGGATGTGGGCACTGCTAAACTAATTAACTTCTCTCCTTACAGAGCTCATCCTGATAAGTTGAACCTACTGCAACAGGAGAGTAATTTATGCTCACCATGAAAAAGCAATTAATGAGAACATAAATATGTACATGGGAAAGTGTGACAAGTGTGTGTGTGTGTGTGTGAGAAAGAGAATGGGGTAGCTATTATATAAGTTCACAGTGATAATTATTATATTCATGGGAAGATCTAAACCATAAGTGTCATACAGTGCCTGGGAAATGAGATGTAATCAGGTTGGAAGCAAAGGTTAGCTCCAATTCCTTAGATCAAGAGGCCTTCACCAACATCATGGTAATATGGATTAGATACATTCTGAGGGAAGAGAGAGGGGTTATTCCAAAACAGAAAGTAAACTCCACGAGGATTTAAAATTTCTTAATTTTTTTTATTTACTGACCATTCACCGAGAGCTTCAAGACATCTCATCTGACCCAAAACCAAGTCAAGATCGTCAGGTCTTGTCTCCAACTTTGTTTGATATGCTTGAAGTGCTTGGTCCCAATCATGCAATTTTTCATGCCAGCGCTCTTGTACCTTCATATCAGTACGGTTGTTCTTTCGAGCATACTCCAGGAGACCTAAGAGTAAGTATAGTCATTAATTATGAAAATTAATAAATTGAAAGATAGAATAAAATACTATAGTGAAACAGTAAACTGTATGATTTTTTCACAAAATTAATGACTTATTAAATCTGCTGAATTGACAGCTTATTATCAAATATTACATACAGATCTGCTATGAAATATGTGCTTAGTTTATCACTTTCTTATTCAATCTCTACTTAAAAATAGATGATGATGATTATATTATTTTCTAACATACCAGCTGCTTCCCATCAAGATAGGGTTACCAGAAAATAAGAATCACATTCAGTATCACTCATTTAATAGCTGCCTTGCCAGAAATATAGACCTTATAATTCAAATTAATCTGTGAACTGCAATATCCCCATCCTACCTACAGAGTGCAGGCATGGTTCTTCTTACCTCTACGGCACAAGTCTGGCTAACCAGTTTCCCTGAATCCCTTCATAAATATTACCTTGCTCACCAACAGAACAAGCCATAAAACCCACTTGTTTCTATTTCCTCTAACATTGAAATGGTTATACGTAACTATGACCATAATTTTTGAAGGGGTGGACCGGTAAGCCAGAGGAAGGCCTCAGTCAAATGAGCAAAAGCTCCAGCATCGGGTCATCATACGGCCAAGACCCACGTCAGGAAACACTTGTCCTGTTTCCTGATGAACCTTACTTAACCTAACCTAATCTAATATGCTAAGATAACCCTGCCAGATGCTAAAGACCTTAGCACTCAAAATCTACTCGATCCTTTTCTGCAAATCTTCCAAGATGGCCCTTACCCCTTTCCTCATAATCATGGGAAGTGCTAAACCCATAAGAGCCACAAAGTGCCTGAGGACAGAAAGGTAATCAGGTTTGATCTGGGAAAGAGGATAGCTCCAATTCTTAGTATCAAGAGCCGTTTACCAACATTAGAGCACCCCCTCCTCTTCTGTTGAAGGAAGGACGAAGCAAAAAAAGTTAGCCCAATTTACCTGCTGCTGCTTCTTTTTGGCCCAATTTATTATTAATAGAGATGAGATGCTCCAAGACCTCTGAAGTGGGACCCTTGTGAAACTCTTCTTCTTTATAGTGTAAAGCTTTAGCATATGCACGACACTCCATTGCTTTCTGACCCAATAGCTGAAGTTCCAAAGGCAAAGGACCCTGTTAGGATTACAGACTAGATTAGACTTTGCCACTGTAGACAGTAGTGCATAAGCATAGGGATATACAAAAAGCCTAGATTTAGGTCCCCAGGAAATTACAGTACTTTTAAATTACTAAACAAACTAGAATTGATATATTTATTACAAATGCCTTTACAAATTAATGCTGTACCTGTGAGGTACCAACCCAACAGAACATGTACTTAACTTTAACAAGAGTCCAACAACTTTGCCCAGCTATTACAGCAACACTCTTTATTACTAAAATTCTTCTCCAGTTGCACTCATGCCTTACCTTATCACAATGTTCCATAAATTCTGCCAAATTAAGAAGAGTTTGTGTGATCTCAGGAATATCCTGGGAGGTAAGCGCCTGACGAAGGGATTGAAGAAGGTCATCCTGGAGACTTTCATTCAGTTCACTCCAGCAGGATACAAATGCAGCATTAAACAGGTCTCGAGAAAGCTGCACATAAGTGGTGGCCACTGAATAACATGATCTGGAAATAAGTTCATTACTTATAATGTTGTTGTTCTACCTTCACCTATTCATATCAGTCACTCTTACTATGAACAAGAAAAAACAAGCCTAAATATTTAATTTTTTTTGTGCCATTCAGTGTTTATACATAGTATCTCTCTCACATAACTATTCTTTAACTTAGCAATTATTTTAATATTCATAATACTTATAACCCCTTTTCCTGTAAAGATTACTAAAAAGAATAAGAAGAAAATTGTCAAAGTGGGAAGTCTGAATGTGCGTGGATGTTGTGCAAATGCTAAGAAAGAGATGATTGTGGATGTTATGAATGAGAAGACACTGGACGTCCTGGCTTTAAGTGAAACAAAGCTGAAGGGGGTGGGAGAGTTTCAGTGGAGAGGAATAAATGGGATGAGGTTAGGGGTTTCAAATAGAGTTAGAGCTAAAGGAGGAGTAGCAATAATGTTGAAGGATAAGATATGGCAGGAAAAGAGGGACTATAAATGTATTAATTCAAGGATTATGTGGAGTAAAATAAAGGTTGGATGTGAAAAGTGGGTTATAGTAAGCGTATATGCACCTGGAGAAGAGAGAAGTGTAGAGGAGAGAGAGAGATTTTGGGAAATGTTGAGTGAATGCATGGGGAGTTTTGAACCAAGTGTGAGAGTACTTGTGGTTGGGGATTTCAATGCTAAAGTGGGTAAAAATGTTGTGGAGGGAGTAGCAGGTAAATTTGGGGTGCCAGGGGTAAATGTAAATGGGGAGCCTTTAATTGAGCTATGTGTAGAAAGAGATTTGGTAATAAGTAATACATATTTTATGAAAAAGAGGATAAATAAACATACAAGGTATGATGTAGCACGTAATGAAAGTAGTTTGTTAGATTATGTATTGGTGGATAAAAGATTAATGGGTAGGCTCTAGGATGTACGTGTTTATAGAGGGGCAACTGATATATCGGATCATTATTTAGTTGTAGCTACAGTTAGAGTAAGAGGTAGATGGGACAAGAGGAAGGTGGCAACAACAAGTAAGAGGGAAGTGAAAGTGTATAAACTAAGGGAGGAGGAAGTTCGGGTGAGATATAAGCGACTATTGGCAGAAAGGTGGGCTAGTGCAAAGATGAGTAGTGGGGGGTTGAAGAGGGTTGGATGAGTTTTAAAAATGCAGTATTAGAATGTGGGGTAGAAGTTTGTGGTTATAGGAGGGTGGGGGCAGGAGGAAAGAGGAGTGATTGGTGGAATGATGAAGTAAAGGGTGTAATAAAAGAGAAAAGTTAGCTTATGAGAGGTTTTTACAAAGCAGAAGTGTTATAAGAGCAGAGTATATGGAGAGTAAAAGAAAGGTGAAGAGAGTGGTGAGAGAGTGCAAAAGGAGAGCAGATGATAGAGTGGGAGAGGCACTGTCAAGAAATTTAAATGAAAATAAGAAAAAATTTTGGAGTGAGTTAAACAAGTTAAGAAAGCCTAGGGAACGTATGGATTTGTCAGTTAAAAACAGAGTAGGGGAGTTAGTAAATGGGGAGAGGGAGGTATTAGGTAGATGGCGAGAATATTTTGAGGAACTTTTAAATGTAGAAGAAGGGAGGCGGTAATTTCATGCACTGGCCAGGGAAGTATACCATCTTTTAGGAGTGAAGAAGAGCAGAATGTAAGTGTGGGGGAGGTACGTGAGGCATTACGTAGAATGAAAGGGAGAAAAGCAGCTGGAACTGATGGGATCATGACAGAAATGTTAAAAGCAGGGGGGGGGGGATATAGTGTTGGAGTGGTTGGTACTTTTGTTTAATAAATGTATGAAAGAGGGGAAGGTACCTAGGGATTGGCGGAGAGCATGTACAGTCCCTTTATATAAAGGGAAGGGGGACAAAAGAGATTGTAAAAATTATAAAGGAATAAGTTTATTGAGTATACCAGGAAAAGCGTAAGGCAGGGTTATTATTGAAAGAATTAGAGGCAAGACAGAATGTAGGATTGCGGATGAGCAATGAGGTTTCAGAGTGGGTAGGGGATGTGTAGATCAAGTGTTTACATTGAAGCATATATGTGAACAGTATTTAGATAAAGGTAGGAAAGTTTTTATTGCATTTATGGATTTAGAAAAGGCATATGATAGAGTGGATAGGGGAGCAATGTGGCAGATGTTGCAAGTATATGGAATAGGTGGTAAGTTACTAAATGCTGTAAAGAGTTTTTATATGGATAGTGAGGCTCAGGTTAGGGTGTGTAGAAGAGAGGGAGAATACTTCCCGGTAAAAGTAGGTCTTAGACAGGGATGTGTAATGTCACCATGGTTGTTTAATATATTTATAGATGGGGTTGTAAAAGAAGTAAATGCTAGGGTGTTCGGGAGAGGGGTGGGATTAAATTATGGGGAATCAAATACAAAACGGGAATTGACAGTTACTTTTTGCTGATGATACTGTGCTTATGGGAGATTCTAAAGAAAAATTGCAAAGGTTAGTGGATGAGTTTGAGACTGTGTGTAAAGGTAGAAAGTTGAAAGTGAACATAGAAAAGAGTAAGGTGATGAGGTTATCAAATGATTTAGATAAAGAAAAATTGGATATCAAATTGGGGAGGAGTATGGAAGTGGTGAATGTTTTCAGATACCTGGGAGTTGACGTGTCAGTGGATGGATTTATGAAGGATGAGGTTAATCATAGAATTGATGAAGGAAAAAAGGTGAGTGGTGCGTTGAGGTATATGTGGAGTAAAAAAACATTATCTATCGAGGCAAAGAAGGGAATGTATGAAAGTATAGTAGTACCAACACTCTTATATGGGTGTGAAGCTTGGGTTGTGAATGCAGCAGCGAGGAGGCGGTTGGAGGCAGTGGAGATGTCCTGTCTAAGGGCAATGTGTGGTGTAAATATTATGCAGAAAATTCGGAGTGTGGAAATTAGGAGAAGGTGTGGAGTTATTAAAAGTATTAGTCAGAGGGCTGAAGAGGGGTTGTTGAGGTGGTTTGGTCATTTAGAGAGAATGGATCAAAGTAGAATGACATGGAGAGCATTTAAATCTGTAGGAGAAGGAAGGCGGGGAAGGGGTCATCCTCGAAAAGGTTGGAAGGAAGGGGTAAGGGAGGTTTCGTGGGCGAGGGGCTTGGACTTCCAGCAGGCATGCATGAGCGTGTTCGATAGGAGTGAATGGAGATGAATGGTATTTGGGACCTGATGATCTGTTGGAGTGTGAGCAGGGTAATATTTAGTGAAGGGATTCAGGGAAACTGGTTATTTTTATATAGCCGGACTTGAGTCCTGGAAATGGGAAGTACAATGCCTGCACTCTAAAGGAGGGGTTTTGGGATATTAGCAGTTTGGAGGGATATGTTGTTTCTCTTTATACGTATATGCTTCTAAACTGTTGTGTTCTGAGCACCTCTGCAAAAACAGTGATTATGTGTGAGTGAGGTGAAAGTGTTGAATGATGAAAGTATTTTCTTTTTGGGGATTTTTTCTTTCTTTTTGGGTCACCCTGCCTCGGTGGGAGACGGCCGACTTGTTGAAAAAAAAAAATACTAGTGTTTATTCATTTAAAAATACTCAATTATCCTTTCAACGTACTTATCTAGTTTTTGGCCGTACAGAGAAGAAAAAATTTTTATGCAGTGGTAACCCGAGTTTCAAACTGCTCCCAACTTGATCAATTATGTAAGTGTATTATTGTAAGTGCTTTCGTAAGTGTATTTTTGGGGGTCTAAAACGGACTAATCTAATTTACATTATTCCTTATGGGAACAGATTTGTGCTGTAACAGCACTCGAACAGCCTTTTGGAACGAAGAAAGTTCGAAACTCGGGGTACCACTGTATTTTAAATTCAGCAAGAAAATCACAATTGAATGATACTATGGAATAAACCTTGGTAATAGATACTGACAAATTGGTTTAGAAAGACACACAAGCAAACACTAGGACATCTTTATTAGAAAACATTTCAGTCCTGGGACTTTGATCAAGGTCCCAGGACCAAATGATACTATAGAGTAAAAGAAAACTAAGAGATGTGGGTGCAACCATGATGGAAAATAAAAAATACAAAATGGATCATTGGAACTTTCAAAACAGGCAATATCCAACCATTTTTTAAAACACATTGGCTGTCTTCTACCAAGCATGGGTAACCCCAAAAAAGTAAACACATTCACCATCTTTCACTCAAATGTTGTCTTTCCAGTAGTGAAGACACCACTATTCAAATGATTCTCTGAACTGCAACATCCCACCCCCTTCTTCGGAGGGCATGCACTGCGCTTCCCTTCTTCAGAAATCAAGTCCAGCTAACAGTTTCCCTAAATCTCTTCATAAATATTACCATAATTACACTAATTGCCAGAAAAGCCATAAAAACTACTTGTCTCCACTTACCCAGATCTAAAATACTCGCACAAACCTGCTAGATACACAAGCTCCTAGAACACAGAGCCTCCTTTACCCTCCTTTCCTTCAAACCTACCTGGGATGACCCCTACCCCTTCCTTCCACCCTCTTGGTTATCCTATTCTGCTCCATCCATTCTAAATTCCCAAACTACTTCAACAGCCCCTCTTGAGCCCTCTGAATTATACCTCAGGTAACTGGACACTTGTTTTTTTAATAAACTTCCTGTGGTCTGAAATCTTTACATAAAACACACTATGCATTGCTCTCATGATATCTCCACTGTCTCCAGCATCCTTATCACTGTCCATACCTAGTTGGTACCACTATACTACAGCATACACATTACCCAGCATACTCAACAGACTCATTTCCTTATAATTCTTACACTCCATCTTATCCCTCATTTCCTTGTACAAAAGAACTATGCATACTCTCTGCCAATCCTTTGGTTATTACATTCATGGGAGAAACTCTGAATTCATAGGGATCAAACAGCATCTTGGGAAATGGGAGAAAATCAGGTTTGGTCTTTTTCAAGAAAAGGGAGGTTATGTCTTATTCAAGAAAAGGGAGGTTATGTCTTATTCAAGAAAAGGGAGGTTATGTCTTATTCAAGAAAAGGGAGGTTATGTCTTATTCAAGAAAAGGGAGGTTATGTCTTATTCAAGAAAAGGGAGGTTATGTCTTATTCAAGAAAAGGGAGGTTATGTCTGATTCCTTGGATCAAGAGTCTTTCACCAGAATCAAAGAACTTCCCTTGAGGAGTGCCAATTCTCAGGTACATTACCTTTTCTTGGGCATATATTTAATAATATACCAACCATTTCCAAAATTTTATCCCTACCTACTTTTAACATCTTAGTCCTAATCCCATGAGTCCCAACTACTTTACCCTCTTTTGTTCTACCCATCTCATGTACTTTCCCTACATCCACCTTTGACTTTACCTTACTCCTAAGAGATGGTATTCCTCCCTGCCCAATGAATGAAATTACTTTCTCCCTTTCATCAACAACATTTAACAGCTCCTCAAAATATTTTCTTCTTTCCAATACCTTCACCTTTCCATTTAACATCCCATCCTCTTTTATTTCAAACTGCCAAGTCCATTTACCCCCCCAGGTTTTCTCAACCTGATAGTCTTTCTCCAAAGCTGTTTCTTATTCTCCACAAAATCTGCTGATTAAGACTCACTCATTCTTTAATTTAAACTTTTGTATTCCCTTACTACTCTTTTGTTAAAGATATTGTAATTCCTGGACTTGATTACTGTACACCAAGAGCCTCACATAAGGCTTCCAGGATTAAGCAAAACATCTCTCAATTTTCAATTAGAATTTGCGGGTTAGTTGTGAACTGCTACATTCACTGCATTGTGACTTTAATTCAACTCTCCTCTGAACTGTCACCAGAATTTTGGAAGAAGGAAAGTTTGCCCAGACATAAGATTGATAATCAAGAGGACTGGCAAATGATACTTTAGTCAAGTTTAAGTATCAAAGAGGAAGTTTAATATCTTCAGAGCCTGAAATTTTTTTTTTTTTTTTTGTTTAGACATTTTTGGCACTTGAAGTAATGAGACTTCTTAGGTAGACATGAAATGGCTGCGATGATTAGTTCATTACTCTTTACAAGCATTCAAGTCTATTTACAAAATCACACCTTAGTGCTGGGGATGGAGATGCCTTCATCAATTCAATACTAAAGCGTCTGAGCCATTCCAGCCAGTCATCTTTGCTTACTAGTCGTGTAAAGAGCCAAGCTCTCTGGAGAGACTGTACTCCAACTGTGACCTGCAGAATATACATATATAATTGTAATATCATTCCTAACTTCTGACAACAAAAATACACATTAAAAGGAATAACTGATGAACTGAAATACAATATAGCAGAGTGATACCTCTCTTATTTGAAATAATGAATGCAATGGGATGCCATAATTCAGGACATCAAACTGTCTCTATTTCATCCCAAACAAATGTCAAATTTGCAAGTTTCTGAGTGCATACAAGTAAGCTACAATATTTTCAAATACAAATGGACAGATGGGAATCAATATATGAACAGGAGAAATTAACAGAAACATATTTAAAAATTTGGGCATAATTATGAAGTACTTTCAAGGCCACGCTATTTAAATGTTAAAATATTTTATAAGTAATATTATATGAACTTGGGACAATTAAGTATATTTTGTAGTAAACACTCAATTTAACAAACTAATAGGAAGGATATGCATAGCAAATAAAGATGACTGGTAGATAAGGTGAAATATTTTTGCTATTATCATAATAGTAATAGACAATGCTATAACCAAACGGACTTTATCACTGTTTTTTTAAATCAACTAAGAGGATTTTGTCCTATATTGCTGAAGTCTGTTAAATTAAGAGTTTTACTGGAAGTTTCTAAGACACATTAGAAAGACCTTTTTTATAGTAGCTGAGTCAGCTTCAAGTTGGTGGTCCCTAGATTTAGGTCTTCTGGAGTGTTGATGTAACGTCAGAATGGTCATTTCATCCTCAGAAATTGTCAACCCCTGGAAAAATAATAACACAAGAAAATATCAACATAATGAGATCTTATGTACAATATTCCTTAAGACATGAAGCAAAGGGTACTCAAAAAGTAATTTGATGTAACCTTGTGAATAATCCCCCACACACAAAAAATAAATAAACAAGTAAAAAGAGGGAGTCAACAAGATGAAAACCACATTCCAACTAGTGCTGAAAACCTTGAGACTAGCATACAGGATCTGAGTTCAGACTTTTTCATCTTCAATATATGGTTTGAGAGATGTAAACATTTAATTTAAAGTTAACACTTATGCTTTTTTTAAACCCCTTCTCCTGTATACATTACTGAAGTTAAAAAGAGAAACTTTTGTTTTTCTTTTTAGGTCACCCTGCTTCGGTGGGATGTGGCTGGTTTGATGAAAAAAATTTTTTATGCTTTTATACTTTTTAACGAGCATCACATATGGTCTCGCACGTTACGGTAATCGCTTGACACAATAGTCCTAACTGTCGTATTATGAGACAAGCTAAAAGTATAGCAAGCATTGTATGTTTAAGATTCATTACCTTAAACCCCTGGTATGTACAAAAAAAAAAAAAAACTATGCTAATGACAAGTCCAAATGAAATTATGTTCAGTTATTAAATGTCTGTCTGCCCCTCTAGTTGAGTATAGTGATATCTGCACTTTTACATGGTGTGAGACAAGTTCTAAATTAAACAATGCTGGATAATACTTTTAGATACCCCACACTTCCTTCTAATCTCCAAGCTACAAATTCTCTGGATAATACTGACACTGCACATTGTTCTCAGACACAACATATCCACTGACTGCAGCCTCTTCCTTGCTGCAACATTCACAACCAATACTTCACACCCATATAGGAGAACTGGTACCACTATACCCCCTTACATTCACCTTTTTTGCTTCCATGGACAATGTTCTCTATCTCTACAGATTCCTCAAAGCACCACTAACCTTTTTCCCCATTGTCAATTCTATGGTTCACCTCGTCTCTCATATATCTACATGACTCTGGCCAGCATTGCTTACATAGATCTATGTGCAAATCACAGCACACTTAAGTATGCTGTAAGTGGCAAATTCTGGTGTAGACATGAGAGAATGGTTCTGTGAGGTGGATGTGTGCAGTATATAAAAAAAATCTGCCCCAAGGAGTGCATGATGGGAACAGTTAACCCCTGACATTGCATCTGTGTTAAAATACTGACAGGGGCATTTTCTATGGCGGTTTTCACGGCTTTTCCTGTTTCTTTGCTCCAATCAATAGACCAGTGGACATACTAGTGACGTAAGATTTTGATCAATCTCAGGCTGAAAGTGACTTGAAATATGTCTTCATAGTGGAAATGTTCAATTTTTGGTGAGGAAGGTTTGGGGCCCCCAACCACCTCTGGTGTGTTTCATAGGTTTTTACTAAGTCTACTTCAATTATTGGGACAGCCTAATCCATGACCAAGCATTCATGGTTATGGGTTATTATCTGAGAAATGGGGAAAAAATGTTAACTTCTGTTATGATGGATTTGAAATAGAGGGCAAGTGTTATACAGGAAAAGGCTGAGGACACAATTAATGAACAGAGAAAATGTTACTTTAGTGGCTGCAATGCATACAGTGTTTGCTTTGAACTATTTTTAAACTTGAACTAGTAGAATTGTGTAAATTGGCCAAATTACTGTACTAGCCATTATCTTGCGATCAATGGATAGTACAGAAGGCATACTAGCAGAATAGCCAAGAATTAGTTTTCCTTAAGCACTGAAATTGGACTAAAATAGGCCTAAAAATGGGTATAATTGCTGTTGTGTAAAGTGTTTCCTGATGTCCAACTTCATGCTTGCATAATTCCCGAAGTGCAATATTACATAAAATTTTGTATTTTTGGTGTTGTTACCTTTAGAAAAACAATCTCTACCACTTTAGAAGATTAAATTATTATTTTTTTTTAAATGGCAATACAAAAGGGGCTCTCAATTTGAAAGGTGCCAACAGTGAAAGGGTTAATAATTGCACCTATTGTATGCACATTTGGAATGTGTGTAAAACAAAAATGATACATTGCATTCAATGACCTTTGAAACTACCCAAGAATACAGTAAAACTTTATACCCACCTTTACCACTTTCGCAACAAGAATTTCATATCTGGGATGACTAATTCTGTGTTTGGTTGTTATGCGGTGAATGACAGGTATGAAGCACCCGTAAGACCGTCCCAGCTGAGTTGCCAGAGAGCAAAGTACATCCATTGCTTGCTGACGCAGTTCTGGGCTTGTATCTAGAGTCCGCAGCTGACGATCATTAAAATATAAGAAAAACATAATATATTCAAGACAATTATAACAATACACAGTACCTATCAAACAATCATTACGGCAAAAAAAAAAAAAGGAATACTGTGTGTTGAATGTGCTAAATTATACAAGACAACATGAACAGGTTTCACTCAAAAAATAAAATGAGTAAAATAAAGTATGAAAAAAAAAAAAAATGCTCTATATGGTGAAGAAAGACAAGTATCACATTTTTTTTTTTTTAACAAGTCGCGCATCTCCCACCGAGGCAGGGTGACCCAAAAAGAAAGAAAATCCCCAAAAAGAAAATACAGTGGACCCCCGCATAACGATCACCTCCGAATGCGACCAATTATGTAAGTGTATTTATGTAAGTGCGTTTGTACATGCATGTTTCGGGGTCTGAAATGGACTAATCTAATTCACAATATTCCTTATGGGAACAAATTCGGTCAGTACTGGCACCTGAACATAATTCTGGAGTGAAAAAATATCGTTAACCAGGGGTCCACTGTACTTTCATCATCATTCAACACTTTCACCTCACTCACATAATCACTGTTTTTGCAGAGGTGCTCAGAAAACAACAGTTTGGAAACATATACGTATAAAGATACACAACATATCCCTCCAAACTGCCAATATCCCAAACCCCTCCTTTAAAGTGCAGGCATTGTACTTCCCATTTCCAGGACTCAAGTCCGGCTATATAAAAATAACCAGTTTCCCTGAATCCCTTCACTAAATATTACCCTGCTCACACTCCAACAGATCATCAGGTCCCAAATACCATTCATCTCCATTCACTCCTATTGAACATGCTCATGCACACCTGTTGGAAGTCCAAGCCCCTCGCCCACAAAACCTCCCTTACCCCTTCCTTCCAACCTTTCCGAGGATGACCCCTACCCCGCCTTCCTTCCCCTACAGATTTAAATGCTCTCCATGTCATTCTACTTTGATCCATTCTCTCTAAATGACCAAACCACCTCAACAACCCCTCTTCAGCCCTCTGACTAATACTTTTATTAACTCCACACCTTCTCCTAATTTCCACACACTGAATTTTCTGCATAATATTTACACCACACATTGCCCGTAGACACGACATCTCCACTGCCTCCTTGCTGCTACATTCACAACCCAAGCTTCATGCCCATATAAGAGTGTTGGTACTACTATACTTTCATACATTCCCTTCTTTCCCTCCATAGATAACGTTTTTTGTCTCCACATATGCCTCAACGCACCACTCACCTATTTTTCCTCATCAATTCTATGATTAACCTCATTTTATTTCATTAACACACTGGCTGATTCCCACCAAGGCAGGGTGGCCCAAAAAAGAAAAACTTTCACCATCATTCACTTCATCACTATCTTGCCAGAAGGGTGCTTTACACTACAGTTTTTAAACTGCAACATTAACACCCCTCCTTCAGAGCGCAGGCACTGTACTTCCCATCTCCAGGACTCAAGTCCGGCCTGCCGGTTTCCCTGAATCCCTTCATAAATGTTACTTTGCTCACACTCCAACAGCACATCAAGTATTAAAAACCATTTGTCTCCCTTCACTCCTATCAAACACGCTAACGCATGCCTGCTGGAAGTCGAAGCCCCTTGCACACAAAACCTCCTTTACCCCCTCCCTCCAACCTTTCCTAGGCCGACCCCTACCCCGCCTTACTTCCACTACAGACTGATACACTCATGAAGTCATTCTGTTTCGCTCAAGTCTCTCTACATGTCCGAACCACCTCAACAACCCTTCCTCAGCCCTCTGGACAACAGTTTTGGTAATCCCGCACCTCCTCCTAACTTCCAAACTACGAATTCTCTGCATTTTATTCACACCACACATTGCCCTCAGACATGACATCTCCACTGCCTCCAGCCTTCTCCTCGCTGCAACATTCATCACCCATGCTTCACACCCATATAAGAGCGTTGGTAAAACTATACTCTCATACATTCCCCTCTTTGCCTCCAAGGACAAAGTTCTTTGTCTCCACAGACTCCTAAGTGCACCACTCACCCTTTTCCCCTCATCTATTCTATGATTCACCTCATCTTTCTTAGACCCATCCACTGACACGTCCACTCCCAAATATCTGAATACATTCACCTCCTCCATACTCTCTCCCTCCAATCTGATATCCAATCTTTCATCACCTAATCTTTTTGTTATCCTCATAACCTTACTCTTTCCTGTATTCACTTTTAATTTTCTTTTTTTGCATACCATACCAAATTCATCCACCAACCTCTGCAACTTCTCTTCAGAATCTCCCAAGAGCACAGTGTCATCAGCAAAGAGCAACTGTGACAACTCCCACTTTATGTGTGATTCTTTATCTTTTAACTCCACGCCTCTTGCCAAGACCCTCGCATTTACTTCTCTTACAACCCCATCTATAAATATATTAAACAACCACGGTGACATCACACATCCTTGTCTAAGGCCTACTTTTACTGGGAAATAATCTCCCTCTTTCCTACATACTCTAACTTGAGCCTCGCTATCCTCGTAAAAACTCTTCGCTGCTTTCAGTAACCTACCTCCTACACCATACACCTGCAACGTCTGCCACATTGCCCCGCTATCCACCCTGTCATACGCCTTTTCCAAATCCATAAATGCCACAAAAACCTCTTTAGCCTTATCTAAATACTGTTCACTTATATGTTTCACTGTAAACACCTGGTCCACACGCCCCCTACCTTTTGTAAAGCCTCCTTGTTCATCTGCTATCCTATTCTCCGGCTTACTCTTAATTCTTTCATTAATAACTCTACCATACACTTTACCAGGTATACTCAACAGACTTATTTCCCTATAATTTTTGCACTCTCTTTTGTCCCCTTTGCCTTTATACAAAGGAACTATGCATGCTCTCTGCCAATCCCTAGGTACCTTACCCTCTTCCAAACATTTATTAAATAATTGCACCAACCAGTCCAAAACTATATCCCCACCTGCTTTTAACATTTCCAACTTTATCCCATCTATCCCGGCTGCCTTACCCCCTTTCATTTTACCTACTGCCTCATGAACTTCCCCCACACTCACAACTGGCTCTTCCTCACTCCTACAAGATGTTATTCCTCCTTGCCCTATACACAAAATCACAGCTTCCCTATCTTCATCAACATTTAACAATTCCTCAAAATATTCCCTCCATTTTCCCAATACCTCAAACTCTCCATTTAATAACTCTCCTCTCCTATTTTTAACTGACAAATCCATTTGTTCTCTAGGCTTCCTTAACTTGTTAATCTCACTCCAAAACTTTTTCTTATTTTCAACAAAATTTGTTGATAACATCTCACCCACTCTCTCATTTGCTCTCTTTTTACATTGCTTCATCACTCTCTTAACCTCTCTCTTTTTCTCCATATACTCTTCCCTCCTTGCATCACTTCTACTTTGTAAAAACTTCTCATATGCTAACTTTTTCTCCCTTACTACTCTATTTACACCATCATTCCACCAATCGCTCCTGTTCCCTCCCGCACCCACTTTCCTGTAACCACAAACTTCTGCTGAACACTCTAACATTACATTTTTAAACCTACCCCATACCTCTTCGACCCCATTGCCTATGCTCTCATTAGCCAATCTATCCTCCAATAGCTGTTTATATCTTACCCAAACTGCCTCCTCTTTTAGTTTATAAACCTTCACCTCTCTCTTCCCTGATGCTTCTATTCTCCTTGTATCCCATCTACCTTTTACTCTCAGTGTAGCTACAACTAAAAAGTTATCTGATATATCTGTGACCCCTCTATAAACATGTACATCCTGAAGTCTACTCAGCAGTCTTTTATCTACAAATACATAATCCAACAAACTACTGTCATTTTGCCCTACATCATATCTTGTATACTTATGATTAACCTCATTCTACATAAATCTTTTCGCCGACACGTCAATTTCCAAGTATCTGAAAACATTCACTTCTTCCATACTCCTCCTCCCCAATTTGATATCCAATTTTTCTTTATCTAAATCATTTGATACCCTCATCACCTTACTCTTTTCTACGTTCACTTTCAACTTTCTACCTTTACACACACACACTCCCAAACTCATCCACTAACCTTTGCAATTTTTTTTTAGAATCTCCCATAAGCACAGTATCATCAGCAAAATGCAACTGTGTCAATTCCCCTTTTGTATTTGATTCCAAATAATTTAATCCCACCCCTCTCCCAAACACCCTAGCATTTACTTCTTTTACAACCCCATCTATAAATATATTAAACAACCATGGTGACATTACACATCCCTGTCTAAGACCTACTTTTATCGGGAAGTAGTCTCCCTCTCTTCTACACACCCTAACCTGAGCCTCACTATCCTCATGAAAACTCTTTACAGCATTTAGTAACTTACCACCTATTTCATATACTTGCAACATCTGCCACATTGCTCCCCTATCCACTCCTCACTGCAACATTCATCACCCATGCTTCACACCCATATAAGAGCATTGGTAAAACTATACTCTCATACATTCCCCTCTTTGCCTCCAAGGACAAAGTTCTTTGTCTCCACAGACCCCTAAGTGCACCACTCACCATTTTCCCCTCATCAATTCTATGATTCACCTCATCTTTCATAGACCCATCCGCTGACACGTCCACTCCCAAATATCTGAATACATTCACCTCCTCCATACTCTCTCCCTCCAATCTGATATCCAATCTTTCATCACCTAATCTTTTTATCCTCATAACCTTACTCTTTCCTGTATTCACTTTTAATTTTCTTCTTTTGCACACCCTACCAAATTCATCCACCAATCTCTGCAACTTCTCTTCAGAATCTCCCAAGAGCACAGTGTCATCAGCAAAGAGCAACTGTGACAACTCCCACTTTATGTGTGATTCTTTATCTTTTAACTCCACGCCTTTTGCCAAGACTCTCGCATTAAAAGGCGTGGAGTTAAAAGATAAAGAATCACACAAAGTGGGAGTTGTCACAGTTGCACTTTGCTGATGACACTGTGCTCTTGGGAGATTCTGAAGAGAAGTTGCAGAGATTGGTGGATGAATTTGGTAGGGTGTGCAAAAGAAGAAAATTAAAAGTGAATACAGGAAAGAGTAAGGTTATGATGATAACAAAAAGATTAGGTGATGAAAGATTGGATATCAGATTGGAGGGAGAGAGTATGGAGGAGGTGAATGTATTCAGATATTTGAGAGTGGACGTGTCAGCGGATGGGTCTATGAAAGATGAGGTGAATCATAGAATTGATGAGGGGGAAAAGGGCGAGTGGTGCACTTAAGAGTCTGTGGAGACAAAGAACTTTGTCCTTGGAGGCAAAGAGGGGAATGTATGAGAGTATAGTTTTACCAACGCTCTTATATGGGTGTGAAGCATGGGTGATGAATGTTGCAGTGAGGAGAAGGCTGGAGGCAGTGGAGATGTCATGTCTGAGGGCAATGTGTGGTGTGAATATAATGCAGAGAATTCGTAGTTTGGAAGTTAGGAGGAGGTGCAGGATTACCAAAACTGTTGTCCAGAGGGCTGAGGAAGGGTTGTTGAGGTGGTTCGGACATGTAGAGAGAATGGAGCGAAACAGAGTGACTTCAAGAGTGTATCAGTCTGTAGTGGAAGGAAGGCGGGGTAGGGGTCGGCCTAGGAAAGGTTGGAGGGAGGGGGTAAAGGAGGTTTTGTGTGCGAGGGGCTTGAACTTCCAGCAGGCATGCGTATCACATATAATATATAAATTCAAAAACCCTGGTAAATTTTTTACCTGTGCAAAATCCTATAGTATCTAGGTCTTGCTGTTTTGATCTTTTTGACGGAAAGCTGTCCATATGACCAACAATAAATATGCAGCAATCTGACATATAATTGTCCTGCTATTCATTCATCTCATGTCCCTACAAGTCAGTGATCCTTTTTCCTAAAAAAAAAAAAATACTGAATACAAAATACTTTAGCCATTCTCATATCCAAACATATTTAACTTTTCATCTTCCTTTTCTACATTCCTTCATCCAGTAACCTAGGTAATTACTTCTCACAAAAGCCACTACAACTGGGATATATTTTCCATGTCGTTTTACTGTTGGTTATAAATTGCACTACTCGTTAACCAAGAAAATAAAAAACTTAGTGATGAAGGCTTTCCCTTAACCCTTTCAGGGTCCAGAGGCCAAATTTCAAAGTGTGCACCAGGGTCCAAGAATTAAAAAAAAAAAAAAATTATTTTTTCTTATGAAATGGTAGAGAATCTTTTTGTGAAGGCAATAAAACAAAAAAGTACAAAATTTGATGGAAAACTGATGAAATTATACTCTCGCGAATTTTTATGTGTCAGCAATATTTACACATCGGCGATTTTGCCAACTTTGACTCCCATTTTAGACCAATTACATTATTCCAGTTGACCAAATTCTTAGCTATTTCACTAGTATTACTTCCATTCTATCGATTGAGCACAAGAATCACCAAGTCAACTGTTTCAACTACAAAATAAAGTGATCGGAAATTGGTAATTTGGCCCATTTAACACAAAGTTCAAAATATTCCAATTTCAAAATAGGGTCCAGAATAAACAATGCAGGCATTCCTGGCACTAAACTAACATTTCCTCTATTCATTAGTTATGTTTTCAGATTTTACAAATGAATTCCATTTTGATTTTTTATTCACATAATGAATTTTTATTCAAGCCAAAAAATAGAAAATTTACTGTTATGCAATATTGTAACAATTGTATAAATAATATCACCACATTTGTGAACGTATATTAGACCCACCAGCTGGCATGTATTAGACATGTGAGGTCATTTGTTTACTCTTGAACATTGGCAAACATTTAACATTCCGCTACTTTGAGCTCAGTTTCAAGCCATTTCCAATACTAAAACCAAACAAAATCATCTCTATTTCTGTAATATATCTTCCATTCTATCAAATGAGACCAAGAAATCACAAATACAACTATAAAAAACATACAAAAAAGCATTGCAAAGTCGCTGTTTTAATCGAAAATTATGGTCTCAGTTTTTTCCTCTCATTATGCACTGTATGCTGCAGGATTTGTTTTATTTGGTGCATACATACCACAAAATTGTATTCTCTCATATCTAGGCCCAAATTTACCACTCACAGCTTATCAGTGAGAGCTGAGCTTATGGCGTAGATCTACGGTTTGGACCCTCAATTCAAAAGCTGTAGAACTACGGACCCTGAAAGGGTTAATTGAAGACATTATATATGGGACTAATAGCTAAAGCTCACCCCCATGAACTTAAATACATACACTAATTACTTCACACTGTATAATTACTATAACTCTGAGATCAATTTCTGTTCTTATGAAACAGGCAGAATTTGAACCCAGGCAGGAAAGTGCTCTATCCATTGTGTATAGAAATACACCCAGCTGGATGACTCATATTAGGCCAGCATGATACAGTGGGTTTAGGACTGGCTTGCTATGTATTCAAATACTGCTCATTCCATGAGTTGTTTACAAACGATGTCATTATGATTTTGCAAGATGTGCATTACTGTTAGACTAAAAGAAAGCCTAAATTTCATACTCATTAATGAACATTTTTATGATACATGGTAACATTTGAAAAAAGAGCTTACCAAAGGATGAATTATCTTGGAGGTATAGTCAGACAGATCAAGATAATCAGCAAAATGATCCACGGTTTCAAGAGCTGTGCGACGCACAGAAAGAGGAACATCACTGGCATCAAAGAGCTTAACAATGTGAGGAAGAATCATGTGTAGGAATTCCTCAAGAGTTGCACCAAACTTTTGGAATGCCAACAACAACTGCAGATGAAAAATTAAAATGCAGGTAACAATCTTGATAAGACTACCAAGTAAAAATACGTGCACTAAAAACAGTATGCATACAAGGTTGGCTAAAACCTTAGGTCCATCCAGTTTTTCAGTCCTCATTTATTGCAGGGCAGTAAAACAAACCTGAAACCATTTCAAGTTTTTTGTCTTACTGTCTTTAGCAAATGAATTATACATACTGTTGAGTTTTTCAGATGGACCTAATTATTTTAACCTGCTTATGCTTTCACCCACAAATTTTATTTAGGAGATCTATAAAGATATTACCATCTTAGGATTCACCACTATGTGATAATCCCTCATATTTAGAATGGGGTGTTAAATCTAGTTTTGGTAAGTCAGCGGAGGCAAAAGCAGTTAACAGTCATCATCTGATTTACAACCCCCATGAAACACTGTGTGCTTTCCTGATGAATAAACCACCACCACCTTATACCTTTCTTCACATATGCTATACAACTACTACAGTCTATAAAAGTATATCAGAAAAGAGGTACTGCAAATAATTATTAAAATAAGCAATGAATTTTACCTTTCCAGTTACTTGCTTCTCCTTTGAGTCATTGATACATGACTTGAGTATCATAGGCACGAGTTCCTTGAGGTATATCTTGAATTCTGAGCTGACAGCCAGTGCGATGCTCTCTACCACTGTTATAATGGTGATGGTCGTCTCCAGTTTACCACCAGTTACCCAGAATTCCTTTGGTATCGAAGCACATTTCAGAGCATTACACAGTAAACTTTCTGAGGTAACAATGCTTTTCAGACAACACTTTAAGATTAAAGACTTCCTGAAGCTAACACTGACAACATGTGAAATTATGTTAATCTTACAAGCCAAAAAATTCTATTACAATTTTACAAATTATATAATGTGTGCTTTAAATATTTAAAAATTACTAATCTAAAACCTGGGGATATCTATCTATTCACTTTAAATTTATGAGATCTATGCACAACATCTGCATATTATCAAAATGTCACTAATGTATACAATGGGCAACAATGAAGAAGTCAAATAATTAAGGCCAATAAAAAAAAAGTTTCCAGTACCCTAACCCTACCCAGCCAAACAGCACTGCCCCTAAAGCTTTTATAGTTACATTATGCCCAATGAATGATACTGTATTTTAAATTAAATAAAATAAATAAAGATCAAGCGATGACATCGCCTCAATCAAGCCCACCCCCTCTCTCTCTCTCTCTGAAGGCCTATAGAACTGCATCTCTGATTGGTCAGTTTACCAAGTACAGTATTTCAGACTGCCATCAAAAATGAACCAATGAGGTGATTACTTTCATAAATCTATGGTAAATTATCTCTTGTCAGTGGTGGCCATGTGTTGTGCATACAATCTCTTACATAAATGAGAGTGTTGTGTATATAGCTGCCCTGCTCTTACCTATAAGAAGATACTGGCTACAATGCATGTTATGTGATGGGAATAATGTGTACAAAACCTTGACAGCAACTGTAAGAGGTTTTCACAGTCATGGATGAAAATGAGATATTTATTGATACTGAAGATAAACATGCAAGTGAACAACCAACAAGTGAAATTTTATTTGTGCCAAATGAACGTGGTCCTTGGACGAAACTGACTAACAGTAATGCTATGTATGGACTGTTACTTCGGTATGTTCTGCCCATTTTTGGATGCAAATTTATCCAAATTAGTGACTGGATGATGCCAAAACTTTTGCCAATACTGATACTCAAATTTAGGTCCATACCAATACCATCAAGCTCTGCCAATTCTGATACTCACCAACATTCAATTTTTAGGTTGATACCCATCAATACCAATACTTTGGCACACTCCTAATTCAAATACCATGCCTTCTGGAAACAAATAGTGGGGGACAGAATTCCACTGTAAACAAAGACATCCTGCAATTTTAAAGACCTACAAACAAAAGATGCCTTTGCCCTCCTGATGTTTACAGTGAAACAAATACGCCATTCCAATGCACAAAAATACCAAGGCACCGAATCCTACAATAACTATATGGTACGATAAATATGACACTTGTTCAACACCTGGATATATTTACTTCAAAAACAGTTTACCTGCACAACAAGTTTCTTCAAATGAATACAGAGGGAACATTTAAACTGCAGAGGTAAATTGACACAGCAACACCACAGAACCTTGGTGTAAGATCTACTAGTCACAGGAAGCAGGGCCCACTTCCACCAATGGGCCCTGCTATCCTATGACGATGTCTCCACCTCTTTACTTCACCTCTAACTCCAGTATATAAGTCACTTTCCTCATGCTTCTGCTTTACATTGATCTTCTTTACAATGATTTATCAAGGCTGAGAGACTAACCATCTCAAAATGACTTCTTCACAGATGATGGAGTGAGCACCTCAAAATTACCTCTCCACATCTTCCACTGACCCCCAGTTTAAGCATCTCTGTATCTGGCTGAAGAGGCCTGCTGTGCAGGCTAAACATTTCAGAAACAGACATTAAGACGCTGCACATACCTTATTCATCAACTTGTCCGAATCATATGCTACTAATGTAAGTTTATGGAGACAAAATATGCCATAGAATAAAATATACATTTTGATACAACAAGAACAAGCAGACGGGTGTAGAGTAAAAATGACTGAACTGGAAACACATACTGAACATTTTGAATGTTCAGTTATTCAAGACAGAGGTAGTACTACAATTCACACTAATTAATATGCTTCGGACACTAATAAAGAGCACATGTGTATTTGTCATTCAGAAGGCAAATATAGTTCTTCTGTTGAACATTATGCCTGACTGAAACAACAGAAAAATGTAAGTAAACCATACCTAATTTTTGATGACAAGGAACCAAAAACACACTTTTTGCGGACTAATTTTCAAATATATTCCTTCTTACCATTTGAGGGGGTTTCATTCTGTCTATAAGTATGACAAAACTATATTACAATTCACAATTGTAAAATGAACTAGAAATGAATATTAGTACTTATTATACCCCACCTTCAAAACCTCAATGATATCATCAAGATAGTTTCGAATGTGCTGCTTAACAATGCCAATTAATGTAGCCAACTGTTGGAATAAGTAATCTCGGAAATTGGCATCTGATGTTCTAATGACGATAAGGAGAGAAGGGATAACTTGTGCCAGATACGGCACCCCCTTCACACCCAGAGACTTGAAGATAAAGGTAATAGCCTGAAAAATATAAAAAATTAATTTAAATAAACTGTATGAATGTCAGATTTTATAATCAGTTTGTCCCCCAAGCCATATTGAGCTACTCTCCTGTGTTAGCTCCTTCCCATGTCTTGCCCATATGAACATAAACAGACACCCTCTTAGCATGCATTTTTTAACACACTGGATGTCTCCCACTGAGGTAGGGTGACACCTCCCTCCCCTGAAAAAAAAAAAAAAAAAAAAAACCACTGTCAATCACTCAATAACTGTCTTGTCAGAAGTGTGTTGACATTATAGTTAATATGACCCTCAGAAATGCAACATCCCTACCTCCACCTCATCAGTCTAATATATTCTGAAGAAACTGCTTATCCTAAGATACAAAGGAAAATTAAAGAATTCAAATAACAATAAGGCCATTGAGTCTAAATGACACTTTCATGAATGACTCGCAGTGGATCACTGCAACACAAACAATGGAACACTTCTTTGCCACCACTGTAGGCACTCTCTAGGCTTATCAGTTGATCTGGTTATCCTTCAAGGCTTCCCACAACATGGCTTTTGCTGGTGGGCACCACTGTGGAGGGAGGCCACTGGCTGTAGCACTGAGGCATGAACCATCAATTACGGTGGACCCTCGACCAATGATATTAATCAATTCCAGAGAGCTCATCGTTAGACAAAATTATCGTTAGTTGAATTAATTTTCCCCATAAGAAATAATGGAAATCAAATTAATCCGTTCAAGATACCCAAAAGTACGAAAAAAAAAAAAAATTTTACCACCTGAAATTCTAGTAAGGAAAACATCAACAGGACAACAATATACCATCTCAAACGAACATGATTTCTCTACCTTCCTTAGAAAAGCTGACATTTCTGTAACAGATTAGATAAGTGCCCTTAATACATATATACGTGTGGTGCATATAGTGTACGTTACTATTATATTGTCCATTATTATTTTTATAATTTTTCATCACTAGCTAATGCCAACTACCTCCAATACTCTATAACTTTCTTACTGCTATTAATTGCTCATAATTTAAATTAAAAGTCAAATCTTACTCCAAATTAATAATATTCATTTTTCTTACCTGTCCTTTTAAATTTTTTTGTTTATCACTTCTTGTTTTTTTTAGCCCACTTTACATTGTGTATGCAATTAGTGTATATTCCAATTACTTTTTTGCAAGTACCAAAACTATCTTTTGCTAGCTAGTACCAACTACCTAAATTTTTTTTTTACTTTTATTGTGCAATAAACTGCTCAATTTATCTAATATTACAAAATCAGATCTTACTCCTAAACCAATAAAAATTTCATAGTGACCATCTGTCCTTTTAATTGTTTACCATTACTTAATTTTAGTCCTTATATATTTTCTCCTTTATTTTAGCTTAAATTTTAACTCCCCCTAGCTTATACATTTACAATTGTTAAAAAAATCAAGGTGCTATTCTCGGGTTTGCTAAAGTAAACAAGTTCACAATTTTGCCATTATATTTCCAAGCTCATTTATCTTATAGTACTACCTACTATCATATTCCCAACCCCCATTATTTGATCATCACTTTATTTGTACTAGTCCCTTTTATATTGTCTCCTTTATTTTAGCTAAAAAAAAAAAAAAAAAAAAAAAAAAAAAAAAAAAAAAAAAAAAAAAAAAAAACTACCTTAGCTCATTATTTTACATTTGTTAAATAATTCAGGTGCTATTTTTTAGCTTAAGACTATTTACTTTGTTTTATACTTAATTCTAACTATAGATTCACTACAAATCTTATGATTACAAGCATTGATCCAGATACCAACCTCTTTTAATGACTTAAATGAATCAAACAGTTACTGTAATTACTACACTGCAGAACAATCAAAGCACTTCTCAGTGCCAACAACAACATAACTATTTTTAAAACTACAATATCAGATTTTTAAAGCAAGCATTAACGATGACCTCATAGCATTACTAAATTCCTTACATGCCAATATGTCCATCATTACACTAACTGAAACCTGGCTAAAGCCTGATAGTACAGATGTCTATGCATTCCTGGTTACACAGCCATACACAACTGTAGGCCAGACCCAAAAAGGGGTGGCACAGCCATATACTACTCAGACCCCAAATAGAATGTATCACTAATACTTGCACAAGAGAAAGAACAGGGGAATATATAATACCAAATTCAAATCCAAATACCTACAAAAACCTCTCACATTGATAAACATCTACAGAGTTTTCCCCAGTCAAACATTAGCCAATTTAGTCAAAACCTAGGGAAATATGATAACTGATGCACGCATGAACAAAGATCACTTACTACTCTCAGGTGACTTCAATATAAATCTCCTGCAAGACCAGGACCCACACGTTACTGAATTCACAAACACAATGAGTAACTGTATGTTTTCACCAACAGTAACAAAACCTACAAGAGTTACAGAGACTATGTTTCCCTACTTAACCACATCTGGACCAACACCATATCCCCTTTAAAATCGGCATAATTACAGATAATACCACAGACCACTACCCTACTTTCCTCATAACAACTCTTGGTAAATACCCCAAGACACTACGAAAGTCCCCTTCAGACTTCACAATGAGGCAGCCATAATAAATCACAACAGCAGTAGCAAACATTGACCCGGCACACTGAGCTAGAAAACAATACAGATATTGACGAATGTATTATATTTTCTAAAAAAGACTCAATACCTCTATAACAAGCACTGCCCAAAAAAACTAAGCAGATGACAGCTAAGAGACTGAACAATCCCTGGCTAACACCCAGCATTCTCAAATCCATAAATACAAAACACCAATATGAAAAACAGTAAAAGAATGGGTCACATAACCAGAGACCAAACAAAACGTTTCTCGTCAAACCCCAACCAGCCTGATAAGAAGGGCAAAAAAATTGTATTATGAGAACAGATTAAACCAACTTACGAGGTGATATAAAAAAGACCTGGAAAAACCCTATCAGAAAATTTTGGGAACAAAAAAGATATCACGAAATAGCGAAATAAAAATTAGCAAAATCAGATGAACCCCAACTCCCCACCAACAGAAACACAAACAGATCAATGATTTCTTCTCCACTATAGACAAAACCTTGCCCAAAAAAATCCCAAGCTCAGATAAACCCCCCCAAATGAACTACCTCACCGCAACTACCCGAAAACACTGTTCCTAGCTCCGACTTAACCCATACGAAGTCTCCCTTATTATCAACGCACTAAAAAACAAGGCAGGAGATTAAATTTTACTTAACCACCCTTTATATACAAAAAAGTTGTCACAAGTGCTATCACCAATCATTGCAACACTCTTTAACAAATCCATTGAATCCTCCACCCTTTCCCCACAGTACTCAAAATAGCAAGGGTCACCCCGATCCACAAAGGAGGAGACCAAACAGAGTGAATAACTATAGGCCAATATCCAACTTACACCCCTCTCAAAAATCTTCGAAAAATTAATCCATAAACAATCTACTCCTACCTTATCTCCCCAAAAAATACTCAACCCCTGCCCAAATTTTGGGTTTCAGGCCCAAAAAAAATACTAATGATGCTATCATACACATGCTAGAACATATATACACTGCAATAGAGAAAAAAGAAGTCCCACTGGGGGTCTTCATTGACTTACGTAAAGCTTTTGATACAGTTGACCATGACTTGCTCCACGTAAAATTGTCTCACTATGGATAAGAGGCACCCCTCAACTACCTCAAGCATACCTCAGCAACAAAGCCAATATGTGTACGCAAATGGGGCAAACTCTTCTGCACAACCATTACAGTTGGTGTCCCACAGGAAGTGTCCTTGGCCCTCTTCTCTTTCTCCTATACATAAATGACCTACCAAATGCTCTCAATTAAATCAAAACCCACCAAATTTTCTGATGACACAACATACGTCTTCTCCCACCCGAGCCCAGTCACGCTAGCCCAAAACTGTAAATACCGAATTACAGATAATATCTACCTGGATGAGTACTAACAAATTACACTAAACATTGACAAAACCTACTTCATTCAGTTTGGTAACAGAGCTACAGATGTCCCTCTTAACATAATGATAAAAAGGATCACCTATCACAAAGCTAACAGAGGGAAAATTCTTAGGAATCCAAACCTTGATAATAGACCAAATTTTCATACACATATACAACAAATTTCTAAGAAAATTTCCAAGACTGTAGGCAAAACTATCGAAGATACGGTACTATGCTCCACAGTCACCCTCCTGGCCCTATATCACTCTCTTATTTACCCCTATCTCACCTATGGAATTTGTGCATGGGGCCTCAACAACAAGTAACCATCTCAGACCACTAATTACCCAACAAAAGGCTGCAGGTTAGAATGATAACAAATTCTCACTACAGGCAGCACACCCACCAATATTCAGTACACTCAACCTACTCACCATACAAACATCCATACTTATTACTGCACCTATTTCATACATTTAAAAACTCAACTCTGATATTAACCCTCCCCTCAAACATCTCCTTGCCAACCTCAACAGAACACATGACCATAACACAAGGCACAGATCACTCTTTGATATTCCTCGTGTCCATCTCACGCTATGCAAAAACTCAATGCACATAAAAGGCCCTAAAATCTGGGAAATTTATTACCTGTAAATATAAAAAAACACTACCTTTTATAAATTCAAGTCTCTTCTCAAAGATCACTTACTCCCCCCAAAACCAAAAAAATACGAATAACTGAACCTTATAAATTGTATATCTTAAATGTTTCTCACAATTATATCACATAAATGTTAAACCCAAAAAACCCCAAACTAACTTTATTATTTTTTAAATACACAACCTAACAGAATACTCCATTTTTACTGAATTTACAACAATGCATGCAACCATATGACCTGTCTTTGTAATACTCACTTGAGCTTTATAGTAATCAGTTTACATTAATGTTTTTCACTGATTTCATCATTGCTTAGTTAATCTTAAGTTAATTTTAAGCCAGCCCGTAATGCTATGCATAGTATAAGTGGCTTTGGCATGCTGCTCTTCTGTATTTTTTTGTACCTCTGTAAGTGTGCTAAAATTATAAATAAAATAAATAAATAAATAAATACATTTTCTTATACACAAACAGAAGGATAGGTGCACAATACATGTATACATATGTATATTGTGTAATGAAGAAAAAAATGACACTTACCTTTATTGAGGATGTGGTGACGAGTGATGGGATGGGAGGAGGGGAGATGATGGACATTATTATATTTTGGAAGGGGAATCCCTTTCCATGATATCCATTTTTCGTTTATCCATGCCAATAATAGTCTCTCAACATCTTTGACTACTTGCAATCTGTGTTTCGAAAACATACTTGCATCTTTCGCAACAACAGCTTCCTTGATTGCCTTTCTGTTGGCCAAGATAGTAGCAATGGTTGATTGGGGTTTGTTATACAACATGGCCAGCTTGAAGACATGCACTCCAGTTTCATACTTTGTGATGATCTCCTTCATTTCAATTGTAATTCTCACCCTTTTTACCACAGTGTTGGCACTAGAAGCTTTCTTGGGGCCCATGGTGGCTTATTTTGCAGTTACAAGCACTAAAAACACTGGAATAATAGAAAATGTACTGAATGTATGTGTGGGTGCGTCCGCACTGGCTTGTAAACACTGGCATATTAACTGAAGGCAGGGCAGCTAAGGCGCGCTCAGGCCAGACGGAACACGTGGATGAGTTCGGGACAAATCATGTTGGTTGAGTTTTTCATCGCTGGTCGGGCCAAAATTTTTACGCTCAAACGCTTCGTTAGTCGAATTTATCATTAGACGATGCCTTTGTTGGTTGGGGGTCCACTGTATCTTCATGTTCAATGGGCAATTTCCTTAAGAGACTTTTCCAACTTTCCAAGTATAAATATAAGCCATTTTGGGAAATGTTTGTTGGAGCTACCACAGTTACTAAATATAAAAAATCCAAAAAGCAATAATTGTTGCATGCAGCCAACAGTAACAGCCTGGTTGATCAGGCTCTGATCCACCAGGAGGCCTGGTCACAGACCGGGCCGCGGGGGTGTTGACCCCCGGAACTCTCTCCAGGTAAACTCCAGGTAAACATGTAAGAATGAAACTTCCTCCGCTTACTTCCTGAGAGCAACTGGTGATCTACACTGGGTAAAGGGTGAAACAAATCCCCTCAGTATGTATGGTCTACTACAAAAATAAAAATTTCTGTATTCTGATATAAATCCAGTTTGTACCCTACCATCAACTCTGATTTCCAAAACATTTCTTCTATGGATATCTTCAAAAATTTAATCTTTTGATTTCTCAACATAAGTTTATAGTGCTCATCTTTAAGGTATGCTGGCCTCCCTCTAAAACAATGTCCATAAAATAGGTTGCCCCTTACTCTTCAGGACATTCTTCAACCATCTAGGTAGTAACACACATTCTCCATAGTTTCATGAGGTAAATTCCATCATGATTTGCGAATGGTTTCTTAAAGCCGTAGGAGTTGACATCCATTCCTCAGTAAATCTCTATCACAGCCCAGAGGTTCTCAATAGTTCAAATCTGTGGAATATCCTGACCTGTCACTGAAGAAGAGTACCTCACAGGCACGAAGCAACTGAACAACAGATTCTGAGTGTGGCAAGGAGCACTGTCTTGCATAAAAATATTGCATCACACTGTGTGAAAGATTCAGGCAAATGAGAACAAAGCAATTCTAGTTGTGTTTCTAGTTACATTATTACAGTTAACCTTAGCAGGGACATTTTGTCCCTGGATGTCCTTTTGGTATGGGTATGTCATTAGCATCATTCCCAAGGAGTCAATGGAACCAAGTCCTCACTAGACACTCTTACACATTGGTGGCTTCTGCTATTTCCTTTCTTTGACAGCCTACCTTATGTAATCCAAAGATCTTTGCAACTGTCTCAATTCTGTGACTTACTCCCACCCATATTAATTTGTCAATACCCAAAAACACATTTGTACCACAACTTGACTGTTTGTTGTACCATATTTTAATTATTTTACTAATAGATACTGACACACTGACAGGTATTCATGCAGAACTAAAAACAAGATGGTACTTTTGGCTGCTTTGAAGACTTGGTTTAGTAAACAAATTATGATCTAAGAAAGCCAACTTACCCGCACAACCTCATTATGGTGTTGAGCAAGGGCTGGATCTTTGATAACTTTAAGAAGCATAGCAATCGCACAAGCTGGATAGAACTCCTCCAAGGAAGAGTAGTTCAGGTTCACAAGCATCTCACTCGTCCCCAGATCTGAACAAGAATGTGCCAAAATATGTATCACAACACTCCAATGTAGGTTACAGATGTTAAAAGGCATATCAAACTAATGTAATAACTTAAAAAGGAATTCAAGAAAACTGACTAGCTGAAATTAATTTCTGTATATATAGAGCATTATCCTATTAAGCAAACCAAAATTAACTTTGGAATTTGAATTCACTTGAATGTGATTTTAAACAATACATACTCAAAAATGCATTATGATCACAGTAAACAGGTGATATCACAATATGCAAAATAACCACAGTGAAAAATAGTGAAATTCCAAGCGCTTTCGTGATTTCTCACATTATTCTTTGATAAGTCATGAAAGCATTTGTAATTTCACTATTGTTCACTGTGGTTATTTTGCCCTAAAACAAAAAATATAAAACAAAGTATAAAATACTGCATTGTGCTGCCAGCCTGCCACCTAGTGAATGCATGATCTACATTTTATAAATATCTAAATCTGTGTATAGTGTATTAGTATACACGAAGTAGAACCTACTAGCTAAATTACATATATTCTACACCTCACAAATGATGAATCATGTGCATTCCAATGTTATTGAAATTAATCAGATAACCTCACCCGCCAAAGAAATAGCAAACATTAACACCTTATAAACATAAAGAATAAAAAGACACAATACCGTGACTGGAACAATGCACAAATAACCAGCACTGAAACATTGTTATAAGTTTCTTCCATCAATGTGCAGGTTGTATAGTGCACTTTGTAAACATGTTCTAAATGTATAGTAAACAGTATTTGAATTTTTTTTAACTTAGTCATAAGCCACCCTGATATCCATCTGAGATACTATCAGGCAAAACCAAGGCTCATTTGCTGCACTAGTCTAGAGCAATTTGTTTAATGGAGTTTTACCTCATGCAGATAGTACTGGGGTGCCCTAACCTGCTGTATGTCAAAAGTACTTCCGTTCACCTACTTCATCTTTCAGAACCTCGCTGCACAATCTGAAACTCAAATTCCTTATGCTCATGTGCATCCTCTATGTGATATGACCAAACCTTCCTCTTAATACCTGGCTGTTGGCTTTTATAAGGAAGGAGCACCAGGATCACTATGTAGTTTCATGAAGGTTTCACTGAGCAAAGTATTATTCTTTTTTCAACAAACCAGCTGTATCCCACCTAAGCAGGGTGACCCAAAAGGTAAAATGAAAGTTTCTCCTCTTAAATTTAGTAATACATACATGAGAAGGGGTTACTAACTCCCTGCTCCCTGCATTTTAGTTGCCTCTTATGACACACATGGCTCAAGGAGGAAGAATTTTGTTCCACTTCACCATGGAGATAAGAGGAAATAAACATGAACAAGAACTAGTAAGGAAATAGAAGAAAACAGAGAGAGAGAGAGAGAGAGAGAGAGAGATAGAGAGAGAGGGAGAGAGATAGAGAGAGAGAGATAGAGAGAGAGAGATAGAGAGAGAGAGAGAGAGAGCTAGAGAGAGAGAGATAGAGAGAGAGAGATAGAGAGAGATAGAGAGAGAGATAGAGAGAGATAGAGAGAGAGAGATAGAGAGAGAGAGATAGAGAGAGAGAGAGAGATAAGAGAGAGAGATAGAGAGAGAGTAAGAGAGAGAGAGTAGAATAGAGAGAGATAGAGAGAGAGAGATAGAGAAAAGAGAGGAGATAGAGAGAGAGAGATAGAGAGAGAGAGAGAGAGAGAGATAG